TCTTTTGGTAAAAGGTATTTGAAATCTATTCAGTCTTCTTATTTTGGTACAAATGCTACTTCTTCCATGAAGCCAACCCTCTTTTCTCCATTGCTGTCTCATCCCTAACTACAGATCATCAAAAACAAACTCCCCCTTTCCAAAACTCCCAGAGCATCTGTTGCTTCCTGGTCCTCACTGTTTTTGACTTGTATTTCATCCGTTAATGTATGTGAATTCTCCACTAAACTCTATATGTCAGTGATCAACATTTTAATGCCCAGGTACTTATGTGCCTAACACACAGTAGGAGATGAACACTTTTCTGAGGTGAGGTTGAATGGAGATTCTCCTCTTGTCTGAAGAATTTTGCTGAGCCTCATATTTGAGGACAATGAAAAGAAAAAATAAGTGAAAATGAACGTGTTATTTGCTCAGTCATGTCCAACTCTTTGCGACCCTATGGACTATAGCCTGCCAGGCTCCTCTGTTCATGGAATTCTCCAGACAAGAATACTGGAGTGGGCAGCCAATACTTTCTCCAAGGGATCTTCCCAAACCAGGGGTTGAACCCAGGTCCCCTATGTTGCAGGCAGATTCTTTACCATCTGAGCCACCAGGCAAGTCCAAGGACGATGAAAGGTAAGTGCCAATTTAACATCAAGAGAGATGAGTACCATACTGCTATTGTACCTGCTAAGAGGGATTCATACTGGTCCTTCAACAGCAGACAGGTCATCCTCCCTCCCCCAGCTACCTGTGTACAGACTATATAAGAGAAAACCATAGAGATGATGAAGAGATTCCTTAATAGGAATAGAGGGATTCATACTGGTCCTTCAACAGCAGACAGGTCATCCTCCCTCCCCCAGCTACCTGTGTACAGACTATATAAGAGAAAACCATAGAGATGACGAAGAGATTCTTTAATAGGAATTGTTAGGAGCAGTAAGAACTGTGGTTTTAGTCTCAGCATCACAACACAAATGAGAGCAAATCATAAGAACCACAGTTGGTTTAGTTCTTTGGCCCATTTTTTGGTCGGGTCATTTATTTTTCTGGAATTGAGCTGCAGGAGTTGCTTGTATATTTTTGAGATTAATCCTTTGTCTGTTTAGAAATACAGATGGCTAGCAAACACAGGGAAAGATGTTCAACATCACTCATTATCAGAGAAATCCAAATCAAAACCACAATGAGGTACCATTACACGCCAGTCAGGATGGCTGCTATCCAAAAGTCTACAAGCAATAAATGCTGGAGAGGGTGTGGAGAAAAGGGAACCCTCTTACACTGTTGGTGGGAATGCAAATTAGTACAGCCACTATGGAAAACAGTGTGGAGATTTCTTAAAAAGCTGGAAATAGAACTGCCATATGACCCAGCAATCCCACTTCTGGGCATACACACCAAGGAAACCAGATCTGAAAGAGACACGTGCACCCCAATGTTCATCGCAGCACTGTTTATAATAGCCAGGACATGGAAGCAACCTAGATGCCCATCAGCAGACGAATGGATGAGGAAGCTGTGGTACATATACACCATGGAATATTACTCAGCCATTAAAAAGAATTCATTTGAATCAGTTCTAATGAGATGGATGAAACTGGAGCCCATTATACAGAGCGAAGTAAGCCAGAAAGATAAAGACCATTACAGTATACTAACACATATATATGGAATTTAGAAAGATGGTAACGATAACCCTATATGCAAAACAGAAAAAGAGACTCAGATGTATAGAACAGACTTGTGGACTCTGGGAGAAGGCGAGGGTGGGATGTTTCAAGAGAACAGCATTGAAACATGTATATTATCTAGGGTGAAACAGATCACCAGCCCAGGTTGGGTGCATGAGACAAGTGCTCGGGCCTGGTGCACTGGGAAGACCCAGAGGGATCGGGTGGAGAGGGAGGTGGGAGGGGGGACCGGGATGGGGAATACATGTAAATCCATGGCTAATTCATTTCAATGTATGACAAAAACCACTGCAATGATGTAAAGTAATTAGCCTCCAACTAATAAAAATAAATGGAAAAAATAAATAAATAAATAAATAAAATTCTACTGAAAAAAAAAAAGAAAAAGAACCACTGTCAGAAAGTCCTGAAGTGGTGAGGGTGGAGATTAGGGCTCGTTGTCCTGCTTGTAGTATCAAAGGGAAGAGAGAGGGGGCAGCAGTGAGAACGTGTGCCACATCTGTCTAGTAGGTCAAGCAGAAGCTCTATAAATTAGCCAGGCTAAAGCAGTCTCAGAAGGAATTTGTCCAATGAGGCAGTCAGCTGAGGTTAGAGAGACCAGCAAAAGAAAAAGGCTGTGTGCTATGCACCACCAGAAGGCAGTTAATGAAAGGAATTCTGAGGGGTCAGAGGAGAGAGCACCACCTGTGTAAGGGAGTGGTCTGGTTCAGGCAATCCACAGGGAATCTCTAAAGAACTCAGGAACTCACTAGTAAGCCCCATGCAAAGGGCCTGAGTTTAGATGCCTACCTTGTTAGAATACACTCAACAGGTAATAAGTACAATTCCCCCATTTAAGTAGAAAGTCCTGGCCTCCTGCTACTCGCATTCACCGAAGCAGGGTTGAAAGTAGCTGACATAAGGAAAACAGAGTCCATGGCCTTCTCTAACACCACCTACTCCAAGCCATGGGTCAGGCTTCAGCTGGGGAAGAAAACTTTGAATTGGGTGAGAATATGAAATGTTAATTTATAATATCTGGACTTTTCACATCTAAAGATGAGATCATTTCAATACCTGGAAATGATCTCCTATAGTATGACTGAACTCAGAGATGGGAAAGTGATAGTGTTCAAAGGCAGAAAGTAAAAAAAAACCAAAAAAAAAAAAAAAAGTATGTCCACCCTGTGTTTCTCACCTTCATCAGTCTAGCTGATTTAGTAAGCCAGCTACACATTTGTTGCATACTAATTGAGTGAAGTGCTCTCATCTGGAAAGAACACTATGCTTCTGATCTATCACCCTTCTTTTTACTCCCACGGGTAACAGTGGCTCTGTTCTGAGTCATCCCAGCTCTCCCACTCAGCCTGCTCTGAGATGAGATGCTGTTTCACAGGGTGAGCAACTGGTATCAGAGTCCATAGGCTCTTGCCATGGGAAACAGTAAAGTATACTCATCACTTTGAGGGTCAAATTCAGGATCAAAATGAAAATTAAGTGTGCAAAAGCGCAAAACAACTTGCTTGAGGTCATTTGGCAATTCTGAGGCAAAGCTACCACCCATATTTTTGAATTTCTAATCCAACAGTCTACTTGTACACAGTCTTAAGTTTTTTCAAGTGCTCAACAAGTTAGTCAATCATCTCAAAAAAACAGTGAGGGGTGGGGGTAGTGCAATATCATTCATCTTGTAATAAGTGCTTATAGAGTGCCATGCACTGTTTTATACACTATGTGCACTGTGTTATCTAACCCTCACAACCCTGTAAGGACCTTTCACATGAATCAATTTTGTGTGTGTGTGCATGCTCAGTCACTCAGTTGTGTCCGATGCTTTGTGGCCCCATGGACTGTAGCCTGCTAGGGTCCTCTGTCCATGGAATTTGACAGGCAAGAATACTAGAGTTGGTTGCATTCCCTTTTGGGGATCTTCCAGACCCAGGGACTGAACCCACATCTCCTGTGTTGCCTGCAGTAGCAGGCAGATTCTCACTGAGTCACCTGGGAAGCCCCAATGAATCAATTATTTATTTAGTAAGTAACTTGCCAAAGGTCACAGAGACAGGAAATGATGGAGGATGGCCATACCCTTTGCTTTCATGCTTCTGCCTGCTAGCCTAGCTCTTGAAACCTCCTGGTACTCTTTTCTTTTTTATATCATTGTCCATGTTCACAAGAAAATCATGCAAATTGCTTAAAACATAGCCAACATTGTAGAAGCAAATTTACCCATCCATTTATCTGATTCAAAATTATCCAGTCATATGAATATTAATAACACTTAGAGAGTATTTTAATGGACTATGAATAGATATTTCATTCCTAAGAATCAAAATTGATATTACTTAAATCTCTGACACTGGTAAATTTTGTCACTGCAATGATGTAATAAATGACTTCAATATCAGTTTCATGTTTTATGATGCTACATGAAATTCTCAAGGTTATTAATATCCTGCATGCTGGATGTTTTATCTGTTATTTTTCATAACACTTCTATTGTTGAACAAGGAAAAAGAGATGAGTGTGTCATTCTTTTTCTTTGCTCTCTGTTAAGGCAGTCACCTTTCTTATTAAGAGTTAGTATCAAGCTTTGAGTTCCATGATAGGAAATACTTTATCAGTGTCATCTCAAAGGAAGGAAATGAGCAATAGTTGCTGTGAGCCACACCTTGCTTTTGAGAGAATTCCACTAGAATAAAAAGGTAGCATTCGTTCTCAAACATCAAAGGCCTTAGCAAAAATCTGGTTTCACGTCAATGAGAAGTATAGCTGAATAATGGAAAATGACCTTTGGGTTTTAAAGATTTCCCTTCCTGGATTTCTTGTACATTTTCTTTTATAAGACACAAACCTACAAAGAACTCAGAATACGTTGACAATTTTATGAAATTAAGACCTATTTTCTCTCAGGATATAATGTCAAGTCTGAGGACTTCAAGCCTCATCTTACTACCAACACCACTTTCAAAAAGTTCATAGGTAAAGAGGTCTGGCAGGCTTCCCGGCTGGCGCTACTGGTAAAGAATCTGTCTGCCAATGCAGGAGACACAAGAGACTCGGGGTTCAATCCCTGGATTGGGAAGATCCCCTGGAGGAGGGCATGGCAACCCACTCCAGTATTCCTCCCAGGAGAATCCCATGAACAGCAGACCCTGGCGGGCTTCAGTTCATGGGTTTGCAAAGAATCAGACACGAGTGAAGCAACTGAGCACACACACACACACAGTGAGATCTGGGAGTTAAAGTGTCATTCTCAGAAGCTCTTATTTGTATGAGTATTTCTAGAATTTTATGGATAAATACAAACAATATGGTTTACTTTGCTAAAGATCTTACTTGTTAAACAGACCATCAATGTAATGGCAACATCTTGCATGAGATACTGGTAATTTCCAAACAGTTGTAGTTGCTGAAAATGAAGAAAAGTAAAGATAAGTGAGGATTCTGACATGAAAACATCTTCACCATCCCCAACACTCTTCTTGAAATCAGTCAGGAAGCAAGTGTTATTTTCCTCCCTCTTTTAGGAAGAATGTGATTTACCTAAGCTCTTTAGCATCTCATTGGATAGAATAAAACCAAATCACTCTTTTTCCAGTGTTTAACTTAATTCCATATTATTAATTGCAATGAGAATCAGTCAGTTGAGAAACACTCTCTTATTGGTCACAGTGATTTTGGCAGCTGCAGACTCAGCCTGGGTAACTGAATTCTCGACAGAAGATATTAAAGCCTGAAACTTTTGCTAGGAACTTTACACTTAAAATTTGAAATCAAGGCTTCAAATCATTGAAGAGGGTTTTCTCTCTGTCTTTATCCATGGATTGAGTTCACAAGATTCTCTTGAAACCCATTTACTTTCACAAACTGATCAAGTTCCCTACCCCAAGTAAGCCCATTGCAGACTTTATTTTGGTACACCTGCCTCTAAGATTTGTGTAAACATAGAACTTCCTTTCAGTTTACACTGAAAGTATTTAAATAAATGAGTCAGCTAAGTACTCTTCAAGAACTTGCCTTGCAATACGTTTTGCAGACAGGTCAGTTTTTCTTCATAGCTGTTGACTGAGCACTAAGTCATAATCTGGCTCTATGCATATTAGCAGATCACACTGATGCCAATGAAAATATTTCTGTCCCCTTAGAAAGTGAACTCAAGGCCAAAATGTTTCCAGGTGAAGGTTCTTGGAGAACACTCTTAACTTAGATCTAGACCATCAGAGTGAATGACTCGGGGTCTGATTTCAATCAACACTATCCATGGAGACTTTGGATAGAAATTCTGATTTCTTAACTTTCAGAGAATGCAAATGGTTTTTGAGTTCTTCTCATCCTGCAATTCTTTCTCTGTCTTTTTTACGTTTCCTTCTCATATTCTTCTCAGTGGTAACATTATACATGCAGGGTGAGATGGAATAGGGAGAACTTTTCAAAGGCAGCTTTACTTTTTATTTTGGGAGTTTTCAGAGAATTATGGAGGGCTTTAGAAATCAGTCAGCCTGACTTCCCGGAGGCGGATAAAAGCTCAGCCAAGGGCAAGAACAAATTTGTTCTTAGGGACAGAAGTATAACTTGAATCCAGGTTTCCTGGCTTCCAACCAATTTCTTGTTTCTATCCACCTGGTAGCCCCTTAGCTTCTATGTGCTTCTCACAATCAATAGCCCACCCGAGGCTGGAGTCCTGTGTTCCTCTCTTTCATCACTATGTCTCAGGAAAGCAGTAAATTAATTCCCCTTGCCCCCAGTATTCCCTGAGCCTGATGTAAATCACTCTTTTTCCAGTGTTTAACTTAATTCCATATTATTAATTGCAATGAGAATCAGTCAGTTGAGAAACACTCTCTTATTGGTCACAGTGATTTTGGCAGCTGCAGACTCAGCCTGGGTAACTGAATTCTCGACAGAAGATATTAAAGCCTGAAAATTTTGCTAGGAACTTTACACTTAAAATTTGAAATCAAGGCTTCAAATCATTGAACAGGGTTTTCTCTCTGTCTTTATCCATGGATTGAGTTCACAAGATTCTCTTGAAACCCATTTACTTTCACAAACAGAACAAGTTCCCTACCCCAAGTAAGCCCATTGCAGACTTCATTTTGGTACACCTGCCTCTAAGATTTGTGTAAACATAGAACTTCCTTTCAGTTTACACTGAAAGTATTTAAATAAATGAGTCAGCTAAGTACTCTGCAAAAACTTGCCTTGCAATACCTTTTGCAGACAGGTCAGTTTTTCTTCATAGCTGTTGACTGAGCACTAAGTCATAATCTGGCTCTATGCATATTAGCAGATCACACTGATGCCAATGAAAATATTTCTGTCCCCTTAGAAAGTGAACTCAAGGCCAAAATGTTTCCAGGTGAAGGTTCTTGGAGAACACTCTTAACTTAGATCTAGACCATCAGAGTGAATGACTCGGGGTCTGATTTCAATCAACACTATACATGGAGACTTTGGATAGAAATTCTGATTTCTTAACTTTCAGAGAATGCAAATGGTTTCTGAGTTCTTCTCATCCTGCAATTCTTTCTCTGTCTTTTTTACGTTTCCTTCTCATATTCTTTTCAGTGGTAACATTATACATGCAGGGTGAGATGGAATAGGGAGAACTTTTCAAAGGCAGCTTTACTTTTTATTTTGGGAGTTTTCAGAGAATTATGGAGGGCTTTAGAAATCAGTCAGCCTGACTTCCCAGAGGCAGATAAAAGCTCAGCCAAGGGCAAGAACAAATTTGTTCTTAGGGACAGAAGTATAACTTGAATCCAGGTTTCCTGGCTTCCAACCAATTTCTTGTTTCTAACCACCTGGTAGCCCCTTAGCTTCTATGTGCTTCTCACAATCAATAGCCCACCCGAGGCTGGAGTCCTGTGTTCCTCTCTTTCATCACTATGTCTCAGGAAAGCAGTAAATTAATTCCCCTTGCCCCCAGTATTCCCTGAGCCTGATGGATTATTTTACTGTAGACCGAGTTATGATTGACCTGATGCAGATTACTTTCAATCTATACATATTTCTTCCATATAGCTAGCTAATTTTTAGATGATTATTTTTATCATTTCATTTCAAAAGTCTTTTCCAAGCATTTTTTACAAAACTGCTAATCTTTTACTAATGACATGTAGAGGTTCTGGGCAGGTTCAGAACTAAAGCTCTGGTATGGGAATCTTTCCAGTTTTTAGGCCTTCAAAGTCAAATTCAACAACTCCTCTCTCTTTTTAATCTCTTGTTAGTCTGCCAAAAATCTTCCACAGTTTGGGACTGATGCATTCCTGCTGAGTTATATTTAGGCTGCTCTGAAGCTCTTTCCATACTCTTAAGTGAAGAAGTAGAGGCTTGAGGAGGTCAAGTGTCTCAGGTTATCTAGAGAAAAACCACACTCTCAGAAACTGAGCCACATCTACTCATTTCTAGCTCTGCGTCTCATGCACAGTTACACCAAGTTCCCAAGTTTGCAGACATCTATTTTGAAAAATGTCATTTATTTATAAAACATTAAATCCTGTGTAGGAGCTGCACCCCCACCCAAAATAAACAGGGGATATAAATGCAATTAGAATTGGGAAGAAATTATTTTGGTTCATACCCAATAGAGCAGTGATGTGCCAATAAACTGGATTATGCCGTACATGGTCAAGTATTTAAATACCCCGAAGGATGAAACAAGAGCAGCTCGGCCTTCTCTGTTTAAGAAAAAATAAAAATAATTGGTTTTATATGATACATATCTCCCAGTCTCTTTTATATTTTCAAAGGAGCTCATTTTAATGGCCTGTTGATATATACTTGGACTTCCCTGGTGGCTCAGATGGTAAAGCGTCTGCCTACAATGCGGGAGACCTGGGTTCAACCCCTGGGTCAGGAAGATCTCCTGAGAAGGAAATGGCAACCCACTCCAGTATTCTTGCCTGGAAAATCCCATGGACAGAGGAACCTGGTAGGCTACAGTCCATGGGGTCACAAAAAGTTGGACACAACTGAGCGATTTCACTTTCTTTCTTTGATATATACATTCACTTCATCATTGATTCATCCTCTCAACGATTCATTTAACTATTCATTCATTCATTCTTTCCTTCAACCATCATCTCACCCATTGACTTTTAAGCTCGCTTTTAGTTAAGGCTTGTAAGATACCACCAGCATTATGCTCAGAGTCACAGAGGATATAAATTAATCAGGCACAGTCCTTATTTTCAACAAGCTTTCAATGAATGAAGAAGATTGCAAATACAATACACTGTGACAAGCACTGACTGGCTTGTGCTTCATTTCATCCTGGCAACACTAGCTCCTTGTGTATGTTTTAGAGTCTCTTAGAGTCATGATGCTAAGGACTGGGTGCTGTCACATTATAGGAAGAAAGTAGATGTGACGCCAATATTTAAGATGAAATGGGCTTTGTTGCCTTCAGTACACCAAGAAGAACCCAGGGTAATAATGGGAGCTGGTATGGGAACACAAAGAGATAAAGACAATTGTAAAAATCGCAGCATCAAAAGTAAATAGTCCCTAGTCAATAATATTGTAATAATGTTTTAATGTGTCAGATGGTTACCAGACTTATCATGGTGATCAGTTTATAATATACATATATGTTGAATCACTATGTTGTACATCTGAAATTAATATAATGTATGTCAACTATACTTCAACAAAAAGGGAAAAGGTAAATATTCTTTAAAAAATTCTGTTCCAACTATTATTCTTCTAATTGGGTCTGGTTAGTAATGGATTAGGTCAGGCCAAGGTAGCACATGTTGGGGGAGGGAGGAACTTGGCCAACAAGCACTCCTGCAGCCTTCTCTTGTCAAGGTAGAAGCGAATCCATATGGGAGGCAGCCCTTATACTCTAGATTTCCAGTTCCCAGTGACATGTGGGACACCTGTGCTGCTCAAAGGTTTTCTACAGACCAGGGACATGAGGAAGAAAACACAGAGAGCCAAACAACCATGCAAGGTCTTGGGCAAGATGAGAAGGTTCTGGTGGGAGATAGGTCAGGATACCTCAGGTCAATGCTTTCCACCAGACTGTGAGGCACTCCCTTTCTATTTTCAGCACAGAAGGGAGAGAGAAAACCAGTTGAGAAGGGGGAAACATGTGAAACCTAGATTGTTTTCTGACATAAACTTTGTGATTTCATCCTTTTTTCTGCAGCTGTGTGCCTTTCCCAGAGAATGGACACCCAGATCAAAAAAAAATAAGTGCAAAAATCCAAAGTGGTAAAGCATAAAGACTGTTTGCAAGGTCTCCCACAATGACTGCTATTCCTAATGGATATGAATTTTAAGTGGTTCATTCATTGACTTAATGCATTCCACAAACGTTCATCGAAGGCTCTGATGTATCATGGGAGGCACAATGACATAGAAATTAATAAGGCATAGTCCTTGCCCTAAAGGACTTGAACTATAACAAGCCAATCATGTTTCAAAGAATAATAATGGAAACCTGTAGACCCATGTACCTAAAACTGTACATTATCACTTCTCTAAAGGATATTTTCTCAGGACTAGGCAGGCATCAAGAATAGTAAGGGTAAATTCAGCATGACAGAGCTGAACTCTGTATTTTTATGAATTTGTGAAGTATAAAAGAGAGTTTCTATCATGAAGACTTACTAAGCCATCTGCCACTAGAGAAAATTTGCATCCTGACTTGTATTTTAAAACAACATATTGCAATCATAAATGCATCACACAACTTGCATGAGAAAGAGCATCTGAAGTTCAAGTGCTACTGCCTTTTGGATGAATCAAGTTTGCACTTGGCGCAACCATCCAGGAGTTTGAATCCCCTATGTGAGACCTCCACACCTGGTGTTCCAGCTTCACCTCCACAGCTGCCATGTGAGAAATCTTCAGCTCAGGTTAGCAATCAGGCCCCTGCACTCTCCAATGAAAGCCCCATTTCTAAACATGGCTCTCCATTTCCTTTATCTGGAATTCCCTCCCACCTCCTTAGTGTTTCCATACTTTCCATCTATCCTTCAAATTGCAACCTACCTCTGACACCATCCCTCCTAGCTTGAGTTATCATTCTGAACTACTGGCAGGGCGACTGTATTGTTTGGACATTCATTTATGGAAAGCTAATTTTGAGCACCTTTCATTCCTCAGGCAGAAGATTCTGTGTTACGTGACTATATCCACATATATCTTGCTATACCCCTTTGCTGCAGTGTGAGTCCTCCAGGGCAAAGTTCTGTCTCATTTTTAATACCCCACATTTTCAAGAATATTTAAAAAGAGCCACATGAGTGAGGTGAGTGTCCTGGGCACTCTTGTTTTGGAGTCACCATGCCACAAAGCAGGTTAAGACAATAGTGATAGTAAAGGTAGGTGCAGTCATTTTGGATATTCACTAATCTGTGTTTTGGAGACCTACTACTAGGAGAAGGCTATCTGGTAGAGGATTTCTCTTCTGCTGCTTCTCCATCCCAAACTCCTGAGAGGAAGGTTCCAATAAGCATCCAACATAAGAAACTAAAGGAGAGGAGAAGTGAGATATACAGTTGGCTTTAAAATATCAACACTAGCGTCCACAGCCATGTATTCTTTAAAACTCAGCAAAAGTCACCTTTTTGTTGATTTTATCAGCATCTCAGGCAGCACTCACAGCCCCCTCCCCTTAATTGGTTCTCAACAGCACTTCAGCCAAGTTTCTGCTGTGACATTTGTCACTTTCAATTAGAGCTGAATTCCACCTGGAGCCATACAGTGAGCCGGATGGTCAGAGGATAGAAGGGGAAGAGGTAGCTTACTTGATGAGATGAGGCACACACTCGATGTTGGCTGTTTTCGAGGTGAAAGGGGAGGCCACAGATGCCTCCTGCTCTGACAGCGAAATGCCCGCATGAGCCATTTTCAAAGCCTAGAATGATAAATCCATGTTATACCTATGACTCCTCAGGCCAGGCTCTAACTGTTCAAACACCTCAAGGCAATTTTTCACATTATAGAGTTGATAGTATTGTACCCTTCCACCGCTGGATCTCTGTTTAGGCTGCCCCTCCACATGGATACATGAAGTTACCAATTAAAGAGGCACCAACAATGACTCAGTGGTAGAAGAAGGTGTGTGTGTGTGTGTGTGTGTGTGTGTGTGTGGGTTGAGGGGATGTAGACAGGCTAAGAAAGTGGAAGGACTCATTTGAGAAGTCAATTAAAAAGATGACAGTGTTTGGATGGACCTTTGTAGAGGCCTTTACCATCACAGTTTTATATTTAACAGGTCATCTTCATCAACTACAGGAAAAACTATCTAACGCCCACCTCCTCCCAGGCTGCCTGATCCAGCCAACCAGCTAACTGCTGGGATGAAATTTGGGACATAGAGCACCTTTGCTGGAGTCAGGGACCAGATTACACTCAACAGAGAATCATTCCAAGGTATATGATGTCTCATTGAAATAAGGACTAAATCTTTTCTCATCAAGACTGAAAACTGCTTAGAGAGTGCCCCGAGCAGACAGCAGTCAATGAGCAGGCCAGCCAGTCCCTAATCCTACAAGAAGTGTATGAACATAAAATGAGATTTTGTATTTCTGTACTGCTGTAGAACTTGCAAAGTTCATGGTAACCATGGCCAGTATACACTAAGTTCATGTTCAATAAATATTAGAATATTTCCTTCTTCCTCATTTTCCCTTAGTACTTTGTACCTCTACTAAGTAATTTAGGACCATATACTTTATATGTTAGGATTAGTTTTATGCATGATTTTTTTTCCCCACCGGGTAATGAACTTTTCAGAGGCAGAGACTATGTCCTGTATAACATCTGATTTATTTGTTTTGTTTAAAATTCCACATAATTAGTGAGAATGTGTACTCACCCTAGATTTGAAGAGCAGACTGACAGCTAACTCCTTCTCACAAAGCACGAGGCAGAATAATTCATAACCGCTATCTAAGTATGAGCTTAGTTTATCACAGAATTTTGAAGAAAATATTTAACAAAGAAATAAAACAAATACCCAGACCTTAAGTATACAATAGGCTTTGGAAATGCAAAACAATTCTCTTCATTACTTCTTCCACAAATTGGCTCCCAAAATATTTTCTGACATACATAAATCTTCAAGGTAAGCTACTATTTCAACTGTATCTTTGAAACTCAGATTATAAAACATGCAGTGCCTTCTGTTGTATCAGAGAAGTAATCTGCTGAGAATCTTGTAATTTCAGCTTGCTATTGTATGTAATAACCAAATCATTTGGTTTGTGATTTTTCTGAGTGTGAAAATTTGGGAGTAAATCCAGATTGTATAAAGTAACCCTGGTGGAGAATTTGGCAGGAATAAATACGATTTACACATAATTCAAAACTTTATCATCAGTTTCAAATTTTTCCTTCAACTAAGCCTTTACCAGCTGTGTGACTTTAGGCAAAAAAAGGAAAGAAAAAAAAAAAAGAAGAAGAAGAATTTACCTCCCTGAGGCTCATTTCCTTATTTATAACAGGAGAGATTTAAACCACCTAGTCTTGTAAAGTCCCTTTTGGGTCTGAAATACGGGAGCCTCTGTAGCCTTTCTTGGTCTTTATTATTCTAAAAGTTGCTAGAAAACAGCTGAAGTAATTCATCTCACTTTACTCTTCACCACATCCAACTCATACTCTGGTAGAAGTGAATATAAACATCAAAATGACTAAGTGATGTGGTTGTTGGCAGAAGAGTGAAGAGTCAGACCCCAGGGGACATGGGGTCCTCCAGAGGGGTATCAATGCACCCCCTGCATTAGAAGAAGTCATTTCTACTCACCCCACAGTCATTAGCTCCATCTCCACACATGCCTACATAATAACTGCGAGGGAAAGGATAAGAAACATTAATAGCTTAATGCCTCACTTGAGTTATTTCCATCACAACTAACATGCATGATGTGTGTGTGTGTGTGTGTGTGTGTGTGTGTGTGTGTGTGTGTATGTGTCTCCTGAGCATGTGTAGAATCAAGCTGAAGGAAAATAACTTGGAGAGAAATATTCCCAGAGGAATAAAGCTCTGGTATATTGTTTCAATCAATCACATGGAAATGATGGCAGTACTGCCAAGGACATCCACAAAGATGATCACACACTTCAAAAGAAGTCCTGTTGGATTATATCCACCAAGGCCAAGTTTGAACTGAGAACTGTCATAATCACAGTGTTTCTCACACCCTAATGCACAGATCATAACCTAGTCCATCTGTGTTTTGGTTGCTCACTGCTGCTGAAAGTTTAGCATGTAGACACTAGGAGAAGAAACATTTGGGAAATAGTTTAACAGATAACAACTAGAGATGTATATACATATTCTAGATGCATCTTGGAGTGAAAATAAGATAACATGCTTCCCATCTATACCAGTTTGATGTGCAGGCACAACTGCATAAAGAGAAGAGTAAATTTTAAAGCTGTTACTAAAGGAGTTTCTGATGCAAGACACACTCTGTGTTCTATTATAAGTAAATAACACATTGGAGGCATTGATTAATGGCAATATTATTAAAGGCTCAGTGGTAACTTGCCAAAAACACATGAAATAATACAATATAGGAGAAAATGAAATTCTCAGAGAATTTCCTTATTATTAGTTGACATCAAAAATGGCCATCTTTATAGGTCAAATATGGCCAAATGTAAACAAGTTTGTAGGTTCAATCTGCTCTTTGGTAAGTATATATGAAAATCACATGGTAAACATTTGTTTGTGCTGATGTAGGTGTCAAGACTATACATTTGCTGAAAATGGCTTCCTTTCTGCAGGCATAAAGTATATATTTAGTCTTTAAATGACAGGAGGAATCTTACATCTTCTAGGGTTGTCTGAACAAAGAATAAATTCTGAATGAAGAGCAAGATCTGGAAATTGAGAGGATAACTTGTTCTGAGATAGCATATATCATCCTGAATTTATTTTTCTTTAAGGGAATACAGCTTTTCAAAAGTAAGCATTTAAGTTGGCAACAATTTCTCAAGTATTTGAGAAGGGCAAAATTACTTTCTTCAGCCAAAATCATATAATGACCATGTAAGTAAAATAGTCATTTTAGACACTGGTTACTAACCCAGCCTCAAGGCATTATGGGAGTTAATAGGCAGTTTTGGAAACATTCCTAAGAATGCTTAGGCAACAAAAAATAATCGTCAAAAGCAGTCTCTTGAGTTTACCTACTACTTATCAGCAATTATCTAAAGTTTTACTACTCTTCATTCCTTACTTAACTTTCTAGAAATCTGAGTCCAGAAGCTATAACCTTCCTAGCAAGTAATAGGTAGGTCTGGTCTCAAGAAGAACCATTTCAATCTGATGTGACTTGGTCAGCTGTATTTTTGAAGGAGATAAGAAAGAACTTTTTCCTTTTTAAATTTTTGCCTCTATACCTAAAAACAGTAAAAATATCATTTCTTCTCTTTCCTGGAAGATCTGAAATTATTTATGTATCTTCTAATGGACCAACCTCAAATAATTCCAGGTGATAACTCACATGCTTCCTCAGTTTTTCCCCCATTCTGAGCTGTACAGAATGCTGTCATTTCTAGTCTCTGTATCCAAGCAGAGAGATCTTCCTTTATGATAATCCCTACCAGCCACAGAAGGAATGTTCTCTGGGGCAGACAACTTCTAAAATGGCCCACCTTCTGGAATTCATGAGGTTATCTAATGCCTTCCTTTGAGTGTGGACCGACCGAGTGATTTGCTTCTAATGAAAGGAGTAAAGTGACAGGATAGGATGTCATTTCTAAGATGAAGATATAAAAAATAGTCATCTTTCTCTCTCTCTCTCTCTGACTTCTCTTGCTTGCTAACTCTCACTGAAGCTGATACTCTGTGAGCATCCCTATGAAATCACCTCATGGCAGTGAAACAAGCGTGGCTTGTGCCCAACAATGAGTGAACAATTGAGACTCAGCCCAACTGCCCACAAGGAACTGAATCTTGCCAACGACACCTGGGTTGAGGCTGGTGGCAGATCCTTCCCCACCAAGTGCTGAGATGACTGCAGGACTGGTCGACACCCAATGACCTTGAGAGGGACCCAGAGCTAGAAGACTGAGCTAAGCACACCTGAATTCCTGACCCACAGTAACATGAAAAAAATAAATAGTACTATTCTAAGCCACTATGTTTTGGGGATAATTTGTTACACAGCAATTGATAACAAATACACCCTCCTTTCATGTACTAAAACCTACTTTAATTTCTGAAATTCTTCAACAAGGCTAGATTTCTGCCCAGGGGACATTCTTGCAAAAATCGTTCCATTCACCAGAATCTAAAGAGAAAAACAACAATTGCAATAAGATTAGAACAAAGAACACTTTTAAAATAAAAGAAGAGTCTTGAAAAATGACTCCTGGCCACCATTTTAATATAGCATTGGGTGGTATAACATCAGACCAAATATCAGGAAAGGGCAAAAGGGGATTTAACAGTTTAATATTTAACTTTCACTTTTGGTTCTCCATCACAAGACTATTACTTTGTTCCAGATCATTTTTCCAAGATGGGATAAGCTCTAGTGAATAATAGTAACTGAAAAGCAGAGGAGTATGTAAGACTAAAATGCTTAGGCAACTACGGTTCTTTTCAATAAGCACCATCTCCACAATTGCAGAGGAAGGAGCAATAGATTGGAAGTTGACAATCAAGGTTCTATTACAGCTCTGTCCCAGATTGTGAAGACCTTAGGCAAATGACTGTGTCTCTGAGTCTCAGCTTTCCCATCTCTTCAATGAGGAACTGCACTAACAGCTTTCTAGACACCGTGGGGGTCTAGACTCTATGGTCCTTGACTGGAAAGGTGACAGGACTTTCAAGACAGTGCTAACAGATGGTTGCTGCCGCTCCGCTTGTTTCCTTCCCACCAGTGGCATCATTCTGCACGGCACTATTTTAAAATAGACACACAGTGACAAGATAACAAATGATTTTGAAAATAAACCATAAAGCCTTTGTTTCCTCCTGCTGTAATTTAAGAATCCAGACAGGAATGGGAATAGAGCTCAGCCTGACGTGAGTTAGTGGCTTTCAGAGAAAAGCAAATTCCAAAAACAGGCAGCATGTTTGAAACTACCTGTAGGTCCCCTCTGCTGGGGAGGCAGGGAGGAGGGAAACTAGGATTGGATTGGCCACGGGGTGTGGGGCGAGGGGCAGCACTAGCCTCAGGCTCTGAATAGGAGGCCTTGGGCACGTGGATGTGTGATGAGTGATATACGAGCAGTGATGAAGGGAAACCTCTTAAAGAAACAGTGCCCCCTGTGAGGGTGTTTATTTCCTAATTCTGAGATAACCTTGCTAATCATTGCCTTTACTGTTCTCTTACCCTTTTTTATCTCACTAATTTGAGGAGCAAAATGAAACATGTCATTTCTCCAGTACTTACTTTTGGAAGCAAGCTGTTGAAATGCTGCAGTATCACTTGGTATGATTTCCCACTCATTGCAAAATGGTAACAGCTCTCTTTTTCTTCAACAGGCACTGAACTGTTTCCAATGTTGATGTAGGTTTCCTAATATTAAAAGGGCATTATTTCTACCCTGGCTCTTAAGGATGTTGCTGTTTTCCTACATTTTATGGAAGGAAGTATATTCATGTTATGCAACAGTGTGAGGACCAGCAAATATATAATGTAGAATTTGCCCACAGAACTTAGACTCATATAAAGAAGACACTCAAAATGTTCCCCCCAAATTAAATGAACAGAGATTACTTTGGCAACATGAGGCTCTGGATTCTAGTCTGGGAGACAATATGTGATGTCAGGTTACTCAGGAAATCATTCCAAGGTTCCAATGAGTGACTCCAGGGAAGAAGAGGAAACATTCTTCCCTACTCTTCCTTCTCCTCATGCAACCTTTTGTTTCCTAAGATCTCTTACCATTCATTCAGAAATCATGCCCGGATTTCTTCCCTGTAAAATAGGTAGATCCCTTCTTCAGAGCCTAACCTGACCTCTGCCCAACACTTCCCTCAAGGTGCCCAGAGCCCCTTCCACCTTGTGTCCCTACACCTTATTATTATTATTTTGGATGCACTATGCATGGCAGTTGGACTCTTAGTTCCCCAACCAGGGATTGAACCCATGTCCCCTGCATTGGGAGCACAGAGTCTTAACCATTGGGCTGCCAGCTAAGTGTCTGGACTCTTTATAAAAAATTAGTGAAAATCTGTATCCTGTAATAAATTATAATGGAAAAATATTTAAAAAGAATATATATGTATAACTGAATCACTTTGCTATATAGCAGAAATTAACAACACTGTAAATCAAATATACCTCATTAAAATACATTTTTAAAAATACACCATCCTTATTTAAAAATCTGTATGTGTACATGCAAACTAATTTTTACTGAATAACGTTAGGCACTTTGAAAAAATTAGTGAGGATCTGAGTTTCGTCACACAGTGCAGTTGAGGCAATATATGTAGTTGCTGAGGCAAGTGAGTTTAGAAGGAAATCAGCACCAGAAATCCACTGAAAGAAGAGAGGAAGCTGTCATCTTTCACAACCCGCACAATGGATTTGAGCCAAGTTAACGCAACTCTTCACAGGGTAGGGGCAGGGCCACTCCAAACAGCTGTGTAGCTTGTATGCTGCACAAAGAAATACTCGAAACTGAACAATCTGAAGGGCTGGTCAGCCTGAAGGAAGGGAGCTTTTTGTAATTTATCACCCTGAGGACCATCTCTTTGAATTCACACAAAGGCAGAGGCACTCCATTTAGGAATGAAACGTCAGGCTGCAGCCCATTCTCTGTACAAGAAAGCACCATCCTGGGGGAAGTGCACAGGAAACTTGCTACCGAGAGAAGCCCGACATCTCTTCACGTCAGGTCACAGGTCCAGTACAATCCAAATGACCATGAATTAGGGGAGCGGGGTTCAAACAGACCGAACTTGATTCCGGGCTCTGTAGCTCACGAGTGTGAGTCTTGGCAAGCTTACCTCTCTAGGCCTCAGTTGTCTCATTTGTAAAATGAATACTTTGCTCAACTGTGTAGGGTAACTGAGGGTCGGAGGGGAACTATGGATGTAAATCAGTGAGTCTCAGCCACATCTGTACACTGGAATCAATAGGCAAAGGACTCAGTTCCCAGCCCAGAGATTCTCACTGAATCTCTAGTTTTAGCCTTGGAAGCTTGAAAACACTTCTAGGTAATTTCTACATGAAGCCAAGACTGAGGAGTGTCAGTGCAAATGCTAAGAACTTTGCAAACTGTAAAACTCCAGGCAGATGGGAGAGATTATTACTGTGATGACTTCTAATGCTCAGAGAGGGCTGCCCAGAGTCAGGGCTGTATTACATTGGCCCCGATCCATGGAGGGGCTTTCTGACATTCACTCACATTCTTTCCAGGCCCATTCTCCTGGTTCTCCATCAGCTGCCAGGTCACAGAAGCAGGGGCGAACTCTTCAGGTTCATTGGCTTCAACAAGGATCACTTGGCTCCCTCGAGGAATCATTTCAGAATTCTTTGCAACGGTAATGGCTGTTTGAAGGTTGTCACCTAGATGACAAAGAAAGTGGACTTGATTTGTGTAGAAACCTCTCAGCATCCAGGACTGAATGCTCCCTCCTCTGAGTGACCATACTATGTTGTTGGTGCTCTTTGGGGGCATTTAACACTTTCTGCATTTTTTTCATAATGTTTTATCAAGCCTGTCTGTCCCTAGTGGTCAAACATTATGTCTATCTCTCCCTTTCATCCTAGCATCAAGTCCATGAACATCACATATTTCCAAAATATGCACTAATGAGTAAACAGATGTTTAAGTGCTTTACAACTCATCCTCAGGAGACTGACAGTTTTCACTGGTGAAGGTATAGGCTTGGTCTGATAACATAAACCTATTCTTGGGATCTGGAGTCCAATTAAGTTAAAAAAAAAAAAAAAGAAGCACTTAGGATCAGCCATGTTGAATTTAATCATCACAAACCATGCCTATCCCATCACCCTAAAGGACAGTCTCACCCCTTTACACAGAGGTCTCACAGAGGTCTACACCCCTTTACACCCCGTTCTCATCTTTCAATAACTGCTATGAGTCTGTTGGCCCTGAACAAACTCTGGGTAGGAAGAGAGGGCCTTAGGCAAAGAGAATGAGACATGGTCCTTGCCTTCAAAGCTCACAGTCATTGAAGGGAGCTCCCCAAGTTCCCAGGTAAGCGGAGCAGAGGGTAACAATCTTGACAGCAAAGCATCGTTCCTCCTGCCTCAGCCACAGGGACTCAGTCAGCTCACATGGTCTTTTGCTTATGCCTAGGATGGATTTAATTTGTTAGGCTTCCAGAAACGCATACCAGTGATCATCACAGTCCTGATGCGGGCCTCACTCAGTTCCTTCAAGACTGGTTTGGTTTCCTTTTTCAAGCGATTCTCCATTATGAGAAGTCCCAGAAATGTTAACTCTGACTCCACATGTTCTCTTTGGGTTTGGGAGAAAGTCAACATTAAAGCGTATACATATAGTCTCAACAGTTGGATTTATTTCTTTTTAAAATTTCTAAGTTTTATCAATGTCATACATGTACAGGTTTAACAAATCAGAAAGAATCCAAAAGTTCATAATAAAGAAAACCTATAGCCCCTGCCTTCACAGCACCTTCCCCATTCTCCTTCCCAGATGTGACCACTTCTACATCTTTTATCTGCTCTTTCCATGTTTTTCAACTCTATTCTTTTAAAACAATGTATTTATCTTCCAACTCTTCTGTTGGTTTTTAAAAATTTTTGTTAGTCATATATATTTTAAATTTGTAAACATAAGCAGTTTAAAATTTGTAAGTATATAATCTGACATGTAAGCATATATTTTTAAATTTGTAAGCATTTTAGTTTAGTAGACATTTATTAAGTACATACTGAATACCAGATATTATAGTAATAGTTGAATATGGAATCATTTATTTCAGCCTCCATCTGTTGCCTCCAGTAAATACATGAATGACATCAGTCAAGAGTTTAGTTTTCAGAATTTGAAATCAGAGGCTTGGAGTCTAACTGTGTTCCATTAGTTATGTGAGACTTCTCCTCGAAAATAAATCTCAGGTGTTTTTAGAAGGAAAATTCGGGGGCCAAGAGCTCTTTCTTGATCCTCTATTGTTCCTCTTTCTGTCCAGAGTGGAGTTAGGATTGCAGGCGGAGGAGACGGACACCTAGGGAACCAATCTCTGTGCCTGCTTTCAGCGCATCCCCCGTGTTCAGGGCCACCTTCCACGTGCTGTGCTGTGCTTAGTCGCTCTAAGTCACAACTCTTTGTGACCCCATGGGCTGTAGCCCACCAGGCTCCTCTGTCCATAGGGATTCTCCAGGCAAGAATACTGGAGTGAATTGCCACTCTCTTCTCCAGGGGATCTTCCCAACCCAGGGATTGAACCCAAGTCTCCTGCATTGCAGGCGGATTCTTTACCATCTGAGCCACCAGGGGAGCCCAAGAATGCTGGATTGGGGAGCCTAACTCTTCTCCAGGGGAATCTTCCCAACCCAGAAACTGAACTAGGGTCTCCTGCATTGCAGGTGGATTCCTTACCAGCTGAGCTACCAGGGAAGCCCCCACTTTCCATAGTACATGACATATCAGAGACTCATCCTCTCAGGTTCTACAGGGTGAACCAACTTTCCTCTTGGAATCTCTCTCTCCCTCTCTCTGGCGTGATATAGGCTACAGTTTCTTCTAGCCTGCTGATTCAGCTACCACTCTTGCAGTTACTTTACATCTTATAGAAATTTGTAGAACTCTCTCATCTACACTTATTGCTTCTCTAGTTTTCTTTGGTACTATTGCTTTTCTATTATGTTAGTAGGACTTGGGAGGGAAATGATCACATGGTCAGTAAACTTCTTTAAGAGAAAGAGTAGAGTTGAATCTCTCAATGAGAAATAATTCACCCTTGGATAAGAACACATTGAAGAAACATCTCTCTGGAGTAGAGAGTGAGTAGCTACATTCTCCATTCAAAAGTCCAGTCACTAAATCACTTTAGATCTTACGTTAGGCACGTTGGTGAACACTCAGATAATAAGATATGAATTCTGCCTTTGTGATCTCAGAGAGTATTATAATTCCCATCATTTAGCTTCATGACTTTCTATCAAGAATTGGATTAATGTTCTTATTAACTAGAATTTAAGGAAAGATCCCAAAATCTTCTCATCAATTTATTCTATTTTGGATCTCTGTTTTATGACTCTTCCCTTGTTCACTGCTTCAGGTACTTGGGCTTCTCAGGATTCCACAACATTCTAGCAAAATCCTGCATCAAGGCCTTTGCATTATCCACTATTCCTATTGTCTGCAATGCTTTGCTCTGGATATCTGTATGCCTTACTCCTTTTCTTTTACTCAGATCTCGGTTCAAATGTTACCTCCTTGTAGGACCTCCCTGATCACCCCATGTAAAATACCACCCTCCTGTCATTTTAAAAATCCTTTTAACCTGCTTTATTTTCTCCTTCAGGGCATTTATCACTGCCTGACCATATGTCATAGATTAACTTTATTATTTGTTTCCCCCAAGTAGGATATAAACCTTGAGAAGGCTAGGATTTGATTTTATTCACTTCTGAATCCTCAGTGCCTTGAGGCACATCTAATAATAGCCAAGCTCAATAGAAATAGGCTAAACTCAGGAAAGGGTGAGTCTTGTTAAGGAATTTTCTTCTGTTTTTATTTTGTCCTTTTTTCCCTAAGCCATCCTAAGAAACTCTTCTACTTCCCCATTATGATGCCAGCTTTTTAAACATTTTTAATTTTCCTATTTGGAAACCTCTCCTAAATATAATTTGGCTCTAAAAAAATCAAAATCCTATTCTTTTACCCTGTTTGAAAATAATAACTATATTCTAGGAAGCATGATAAATAGGCTCCTGATATTCTTTGGGAATACCTGAGATGGTTGGAAATCTAGCACATTTATCCTCATTTTCTTTTTTGTTATATTTATAATAATGTATATCTAACTGGTAGTTTTTAAATGAGAGTATCACAGTTGTATCCATATATATAGCAGCTGGGTAGTGGCTATATTCCACTTCAAGCAAAATACATTGTGTCTTCACACATGACCTTAACTTTCATTATTAAAATTTGTATCTTGAAAAATTACAAAATCCTGTGTTATGAGTCTTTGTGTTTGCTCAAGAATAGCTAACATCTTGAATACTAAACCTGAGAGTGCCATTCATACATTTCAAAATGAGCTTTGTGATTCTATTTAGAAGATTAAAATGTCATGACTGAAATACTCGTTAGAGATCATCTAATCCCACATTTTATAGTTGGGGGAAATAGACACAGTGTAAGGAAGGGATGTGATTATTGATTATATTAGAGTAGATGGACTTAGGTTGTAAACAGTAACACACTACATCTATGCAGATGGGCAGATAATTTAAAAAAAATTTGTATTAAGTGAGGACCTCTCTGTCGGCAAAACAAAATAAAAAATGAGTAACGTACATGATCTCTTATTCAATTTGCCATGGTATTTCTTTACTCTTTTGTCATAAACAATTCAAAAACAACCTTTAAGAACTGCAAAATTTTGAAAGAAAAAATGATTTACAGATTACCCTCTGCAGAGGACAATTTATCCCTTGAACGTAATGAAGAATACTCAATTCTATTTGATATAAGGAACTCAATTTGCACTCACTCCTCCAGCTCTGAGGGGGTATACTACTAATTCCTGAAAGAAATCAAGTCTAAAAATTTCTGGAGGTCATTCAAAGTGACAACTGTATTTTCTGAAACCCTTTTTTCGGGGACCCCTAATCTGTCAGTCACATGATGCTCCAAAGTTGAAGGGGGGGTTGGTCGTTTTGGGTGGGATGATGGGTCATCAGGCAGAGATAACTCAGTGACATCTGAGAGTCAGGAGATCTCAACTGCCATCCTTGTTTCATCACCAGCCAGCCCTGTGGCCTGAGCAAGTCCTCCCCAATATGAGGAGAGTTGCCCCTCTCTAAAGCAAGGCGTTAGATGAGTGATTCTCCATCTCTAAGAGGTTTCCTGGTGATTTGGCTTCCATCCATTCATCTCCAGGGCTCACTCTCTTCATGCACACAGAGCCTGCACTAGTGCCAATTTCTGAGCTCCCCACCTGGTTAAACTTTCCACTTCTGAAAGCTTCTCCATCTTCAAGACTTTGTGGGCAAGAGCAATGACACGGAAGCCTTGCACTGTATAATTTCTTAGCTCCTTTGGGAAATTCTTGGGCACTGCCAAGAGAGAAGAGAGAGGTAAATGCAGGTCCCACTAAAGGTGGCTCAACTTGTAAATGAAATTCTGGATACAGTCACTGTAATTTGTTTTAACTTTCCCTCCATAAAAATGCTTTAATAGAAACACTACAGGGATTTCCCTGGAGGTCCAATGGTTAAGACTTCACCTTTCAATATTTGGGGCAGGGGGTGGGGGTTCAATCCCTGGCCAGGGAGCTAAGATCCCGTATGCCACTCAGCCAAAAAATCGAAATATGAAACAGAGGCATTATGGTAACAAATTCAACAAAGACTTTAAAAATGGTTCAGATTAAAAAAATTTTTTTTAAATAGAACACTATAACTTCAGTTAAAGGCCACAAACAACTTCATCAGCATGTTATTCTTATAATCTAACAGAAATAAATGCCAAAGATGTACTGGTCATCAACTGGGTGTCACATACATTATCTGAGTTCAGTAAAGACAGGCCTCAGGACCATCTTCCCAGAGGAAATGAAGTACTGCAGGCCAAACTCTCCCACTGCTTGTTTTTGTAATTAAGGTTTTATTGGAACACAGCCATGCCCATTTGTTTGTTACCTATGGCTGCTTTCAGGTTACAATGGCAGAGTTGAGCAGTTGAGCCAAAGATGGTGTAGCCTGCAAGGCCTAAAATATTTATGACTTGGCTCTTTGCAGAAACATTTGCCAATTTAGGTAATGGATGACACAGTGCCAACCTTTGTGTATTTTGATGTGGTAATCATAACTAAGGTTAATATGTCTATAAAATTTGTATGGTTTATGTATGCATGGTTATATAAAGATATTAGGGAAAAGAATAGTATAATAAGAAGTGTAGTAGGTTAGGTTCTCATCTCCACTGTGCTGCCAGCTAGCTTCCTGACCTTGGGCATTTTAAGTCTCTCTTCTGCATCTCAATTTTCCCATACATAAAATGAAGAGGTTATAGATGTCTATGCTCCCACTCAGCACAGACTTTCTGTAATTCTAAAATATCAATAATTCTGGAGGTGAGGCTCTATTTCAAGGAAGCTGCTAGCTCTCTATTTCTTAAACACAAGAAGAAAAAAAAATCACTGAATATGATATTATCATATGTCAAGGATCAGAAATTAGGACAATAAGAAGAATTAGACTGACCAGACAAAGAAGCAGTGGCAAATAACACCTAAAAACATAACAGCCAACGATAGACCAACAGTCTGTAAAGGATGAAGTTAATGGGAGCTATGAGGAAGATCAACATCAGAAAAATAGAGGGAATTCTGAAAAAAAAGACTCCAAGTAGAGAAAGAAGTAAAAGCAATCATTTGCCAATTCTTAAAATTCTAGGCACAAGCTGATGGCTATCAGCAATTGTAAGGAGAATATAGATGAAAATCAGGAGAAAAAAAGGCCAATTTTATCCAAATGAACTCATTTGAATGCAACAATATTCTTACAAATCTTGACTGCAGCTTAGAGAGTACATGTTTATAAGATGAAGAAACAATACAAATCAGCTTAAAATCTGGCCCAGAAAGATGAAATTGCTGTGAAAATGATCAATTACCTTGCTCTAATACCACCTAATTTACTCTAATCACTTTTTTTCCCTAAAAGATTTATTGTTTTTATATTCTCCTCCCACTAATCTGAGACACCATAAGTGGTTCCAGCTCCCAGGAGGTGGATGACAGAGCATCGCTGTTTACAGAATGAGCATGGTGTTCAGACCTGTCTCTTTGGTTCCTTCTGAACACTCATTCTGACCATCCCTGGTCCTCTGACCCCAGTGTAGTTTCCTGATTTGTCCTGATGCTTGTTGCACATCTCCTACTCTAATGCCGCATTGTGGTTGGGCATTTCTGGCAGGACCACAGTTTGATATTTACTCTGTGTTTCTCTGCTTTGAAATGATCACCTCTGCCTTAGCAGAGCTGCTGGGCCCACTTTCCACCTTCTGAGAAAACAACCAGCTCCATGTTCATTGATTTAGGCTGGTTTGCTCTGTCTGAGTTTTTAAGTCTTTTCACCTCCTGAAAGAGGGAAGTGCCAGTTAGTACCTGTTTCAGGTCTGCAGAACTGAGCCAGCATCTCCGGCGCTCCCTTCATGTAGACATGGAACTGATCCTCCCCCACCAGCCGAGCAACCACAGACATCCTCTGCAAGCTGGAGGAAAATGGAAACTGACGCAGGACGATGATGGCTTCCACGGGACTCTAAGTGTACAAAGAGAGGGGAGCTTCAGAAGCTATTAGGGAAGATTTAGCAGATGTACACCGACAAATAGTCTTTACTCTGCAGTGAGTCCAGGGACGTGAGGTGATATGTTGTCACAACATTGATATTTTTCTAGCTGCATCTAAACTGGTTCGCTCATCAAGTTGTCTGGTCTACAAAGCCTGTTTCCTTGGCTGCCTGAGAAATCCTAATCATCTTCCAGGCCAAGCTCATAGGTCAGCTTTTCAGAGGTACTTCTCTCTCAGCAACACTGCTCACCTCCACCCCAGGACGCCTGCTGTTCTTTCTTCAGCCTTTATTCCAGCACTTGTCACACTGTATTGCATTTGTTTGCACTGGTATTGATTTTTCTATCAGTCCATGTATTCCTTCAGCACAGAGCATAACATGTCTAGTTTTGGAATCACTTTATCTCAGCACCTAGCACAGGGCTTGAGTATACATAGGTATTTTGTGAGTGTTTGTTGAATAAGCTAATGAACAAATTTAGGAATGAAGGAATGAGCAAACCAACTGTAGATACAGTTAGGATAAGACAAAATAATAAGAATATAAAAATATATAAAAGGCAGGGGAATTTCACCAGTTTTAAGGGGAAAGATTTATATAGTTTAAAGAAGCAAACTATACCTGACTGGCTTTTGGTCCTGGCTTTATTATTACATTTGAATCTGATATCCCAAGTTTGCAGTAGTCTGCATTGCAATCTTCAATTATCTGCTTTCAAATGAAAACATTCATAAGATTCCTTAGAGAAAAATAATAAGAAAGAAATACCTCTCGTTTGCATAGCACTTTCATCTTTTCAAAGCCCCCTTTACATTTTTTTCTCTTCTAAGCCAATTATTTTAATACCACCATTATCAAATTTCTGTTGTTTTGATTCATATTAAGGATCTTATTGTGAAATGTCAAAGAGCAGAATTATTGTGATTACGTTTTAAATGTGACTGTGTGGGTGTTTGTGTGCTCGGTTGTGTCTGACTCTTTGAAGCCCTATGGACTGTGACCCTGCCAGGCTCCTCTGTCCATGAGATTCCCCGGGCAAGAATACTGGAGTGGGTTTCCATTTCCTTTCCCAGGGTATCTTCCTGATCCAGGGATTGGACCCGTGTCTCCTGCATCTCCTGCTTTGCCAGGCAGAGTCTTACCTCTGAGCCACCTAGGAAGCCAGCAATAATTGATGGAGGAAGCATTAACTGCAGCCCACTGGCTCTTCCTAAAAGGTATATCTTGTAAATTGACGAGGGTGGAGACCTATTCTCCGTTACACCTGAGCATATTAGCTCCCAGATGACAGAGAATTGAATCTTGAACTACTTCTTATGCTACTTCTATGCTACTAGCCTAACCGGTTAGCTAGAGAGTTACAAATTAGCTGCTAGCAAATTAGAAAGCATATTTGAAAACAATTTGTATTCTTGGGATGTTACAGCACTATAAGTTATACCATCTGAAGAACCAATATTTAGCTAAAATATGGAAAAGGCAGTCAAATAAAAATAAGTAGTAGAAGTCAGAAAATAAGAGACAACATCTGGTCTCTGCTCTACCACTTACTTGTTCAACCTTGGGGACATCACTTTGTCTCTCCAAATCTCAATTTCTTTGGAAAAATATTCTGACATTCCTTATGGTTGCTAATATTCTTAGAGTCTATAAGAACATTTTTACTCCCCCTTATGCTTAGTGAAAGTTTCTTAATAACCAAAAGATATTTAACCAGAGGCTTATTCAGCTTTAAACTCAGTGAACAATCTTGCAGTGTTATGCTCTGTTTGGAGTGGATACAACTGGTCTTAAAAACAGTTCTTACAGAGCTAATTCTAAAGATTTATGTCCCCACATAAGACCCCAACTCATATGTGTGTGTACATAGAGAGGAAGCCTCCTCTTTTGGAGAAGGGGGAGCAGTGTTAGAACCAGGATCAAAGTCATATAGAGTAATAATGACCACGTGAAACTCCTCACTTCGTCAGCACCAGTGATGCTGGTAAGGACATTGGTGCTGCTTGCTTATAATAATTACACTGATTCCTCTCTATTAAGATCCAGGAAAGTGATTTCTGTCTTGCCTTTATATTGCAAATAAAAAATACTGCCTTCCATATCAGCAAACAAAGAATGTTGCAGCCATCAAGCCATCACCTGACAGCCTTCTGGATGGTGAACCCTGAGGAACTCAGGATGGAAACTCTGCCTGCCACGGCAGCCACTTCCTAAAGTGCACCCTTAGGAGGAGACTCAGGATGCCTGATGGCTCAGTGGTAAAGAATCTTCCTGTAATGCAGGAGATGCAGGAGGCATGGGTTCAATCCCTGAGTTGGGAAGATACCCTGGAGGAGGAAAATCCTATGGGCAGAGGAGCCTCACAGCCACCTCCAACAGCGCACCCTGAGGAGACTCAGGATGTGAAAACACAGGACACTAGCCCCAGACAGCTGAGATGCATATCAAAGAAAAGATTTCAGTGGGCCCAGATTCTTGCATCTTCCCATACAAATAAAAGCACTAAATTCCTTAACTTGAGATATGTGGTTTTCTTTAATTAACAGTAATTTTTTTTGTTTTTATTGCAACTACCTTGTCTTTGTTGCAGAAACTCCTATACATGTATCCTAGCTACCTACCCATCTTCTCTCTTTGGAGCTCTTCGAATTATCTGAGATGCTGTGTTTTGGGCTTAAGTCCTCAGTTTTGTCTGTCAAATAAAACATAACTCAACTCTGAGGCTGTGCTTTTTTTTTTTTCAATTGGCAGTGTCAAGCACTTCTCCACAGCAAATGCTCTAATTTTACTCACTGATATCAGAAATTTCCCTGTTTACCAGGTTTCCCCTTGTATTACTTTGGCCTCTATAAATCCACAATTTCCCGACAATAAATCTTTAAATAACCCCCTTGGGAAACGGCCCTCAAGCCCCCCAAGGGGCGAAGGGGAAAAAAACCGCCCGCCAAAGCAAAAAAAGCAAGAAAAAAGGGGTGGAACCCCGGGGCAAGAAAAAAACCCGGAACAAGAAAAGGCAACCCAACCCAAGAATCCTGAAGGAAAACTCCAAGGAAAAAAGAACCCGGGGGGCCAAAAGCCAAGGCGGCAAAAAAAAGAAGAAAGCAAAAACGAACAAAAAACCCGGCCAAAAGTCCAAAAGGCCCCGCAAATGGTTGGTTTCCCCCCCTTAAAACCCCGGTTAAAAGCCGGTCCGCAATTCAAGTAAAGAAGTTCAAGGAAAAAAAAAAATTTTTTTTTTTTGAAGGGAAGAACAATGTAGTTAATTAACTAACTAATGAATGAATGAATACCCTCCATTCTTTGGACACTTTACAATGCAATGCCTTCAGGCTCACAGTTTCAAAGCTCCAGAAGAGAGTCATTGTTATCTAAATACACATATGAGGTAATGATTCAGAATCTTTGTTCTGGATTTGAGGTCAGAAAGCTAGAGAGTGGTAGAGTCAAGTAGTTTCCCCATCCTGTCATGACAGTCGCCAGTAGGAAATTATATCCTTCAGCCTGTCATTCACACTCAGCTGAGGAAATTGAACCCACTGGATTGAGGGGCCTCCATTCTGGTGTCAAACCCTTTCGCTGGGTTGGGAAAATCCCCTGGAAAAGAAAATGGCAACCCGCTCCAGGATTCGTGCCCGGAGAATTCCTTGGACAGAGGAGCCTGGGGGGGCTACAATCTGTGGGGTTCAAAGAGTAGGACATGACTGAGCCGACTAACACTTTAAGACCTATGTTGTCTATTAATAGTACAGTGGCTATCAACCAATTATGGCTATTTCAATTATTTAAAATTTAAAAATTTAAAATTCAGTTCCTAAGTCGCATACCCACTGTTCATATGCTCAACAGCCAGTGTGGCTAGTGGCTACTGTGTTTACAGTACGGCTTTGGATGAGTGTTTCTCCAAGGATGTTTCTGCTAAAGTTTGGCCTGTCGAGGCTTTTGTGGTGAAACAGGTTTAGTAAATGCTGCACATTATATCCTCTCTTGAATATTCACAATATACCACCGTACATTGACATTAAAGAAACTCTATAGTCAAGAAATCAAATTATCTTTCTTTAAATATCAGTTCCCAAATTTATTTGATGGTAGAACACTATATCATGTTGCAAATGTTTGTAGAGTTTTGGAGCAGAGATTGGGAGATTCAGGTAGGATCAGACCTTCATTCATTCTTACACTGCTATGATTCTCTGGGTTTCAACCAAAGTTAGGAAAGCCTAGGCACTCCCAGTGAGTATTGGATATTTCTTCACATTTTCTTCATTCAGTTGAACCACGAAATAATCACCTTACCCAAGCGGTGCCCTCAAACATCTTGAGGTCCAGTGGATCTCCCTGGATGATCCCATCGAGGAGGATCAGAGAGTGGCAACTAGCCATGGCCGCACACTGTGGGCCCCAGGGCAGAGCCTTGCCTGAGGTGAAGCTGTGGACTTCCTGGAAACTGGTAGAGAAAATAGTTAGCAAGTTAAGATCTTCCACAAAATCATTTTGCACACCCTGCCCTTCAGTTTTACTGAGATAAACTTCACTGATACCTCACCTCTATGCTCAAAACCTTCACTAGCTCCCCCTCCCCCACCCCCATACCTTGTATGATAAATTCTTTGTGTTTGGGTATAATCCAATCACAGGGCATGATTGACTCAATGGACATGAGTTTCCGCAAACTCCAGGAGATAGTGGAGGACAGGTAAACTTGGCATGCAGCAGTTCATGGAGTGGCAAAGAGTTGGACACAACTTAGTGACCGAACAACAGAGCCTTTTGTCAGGTTGCCTGCAGCCAGCCCACAGGGTGGCAGTGTTGTGGGAAGGCAGACTGTGGGAAGGCTCAGAGCTGACATCTGCAAATTGCAGAGCTGTCTCTAGAAAACGACCCAACTGAGACAAGAAGTCTCCAGGCCAGTGGGGTAGCAGGGATGGAAAGGAAGCCTGCCTGCTGGCTCTGTTGTCTTCAAGTAAAAGCAGGCATGGCTGGGGAATTTCCCTGGCAGTCCAGTGGTTAAGATTCCACCCTTACAACTCAGGGGGCGTGGGTTCAATTTCTGGTCATGGAACTAAGATCCCATATGCTATGCTATGCTGTGCTTAGTCGCTTAGTTGTATCCAGCTCTCTGATGGACTGTAGCCCGCCAGGCTCCTTGTCCATGCGATTGTCCAGGCAAGAATACTGGAGTGGGTTGCTGTGCCCTTCTCCAGGGGATTTTCCCCCACCCAGGAATCGAACCCAGGTCTCCTGCAATGTAGGAGGATTCTTTACCATCTGAGCCACCAGGGAAGCCCATGTTGTGCAGCATGGCCCCAAAATGCAATGAATAAGTACAGTAAAGAAAAAAAAAGCAGGCATGGATTCAAATAGTTCTCACAAGTTGGCCCTTTGGCTCTCACCCCTATTTCTTAAAACTCCTGGCATGGATATCTAGCATGAAAAAACTCATTTCCCTATTTGACAGTAGACATTCTCCCCTCCCATCTTACAGCTGAATAAAAACTGTATCCAGGGTTTCTACTTCTCTCAAAGTCTCAGAGTACGAGGGGAAAAGGAGGGAAAGAAGGAATGGAAACTGCAAACATCCCTTTCCCCTTTCGCTGGTCTGGTCAGTAGAAGTCTGCCTGTCTGGACCAAAACCTTATCTGTGCATCCGGGTACCCAGAAGCAGAGGCACATTAATATGAGCCCAGGGAGTTCACTGATATGCAGCCCAGGAATCTTCTGCAACGTCACACTGCCTGACTACTGTTCCCTTGTGCCAGGGCTGTACCCAGGACCGTCACCAACCTGGAGAGCCCCTGCATGAATCGTCCAGTGACAGCAGCCTCAGCCACTGTTTGGAGCCCAGGTGGTATACCAGAGCTCAAGAGCAGCAGTGTCTCCACTCTGACTGGGAAGGTGGGCCCTGCCCCACAGGGAAGGGAGTGCAGGGGGCATTCTCTGAGGATGGGCACTCCCTCCTGTCTCCAGCTCTGTTTTGGGGGTAGTGTTTATGTGATTGCCCTCTCCACTCCCTGTTGTTGCTGTTGAGTTGCTAAGTCTTGTTTGATTCTTCACGACCCCATGGACTGCGACACACCAGGCTTCTCTGTCCTTCACCATCTCCCAGAGTTTGCTCAAACTCATGTCCATAGAGTCAGTGATGCTATCCAACCATCTCATCCTCTGTCACCACCTTCTCCTCCTGTCTTCAATCTTTCCCAGCATCAAGGTCTTTTCCAATGAGTCGGCTCTTCACGTCAAGTGGCCAAAATATTAGAGCTTCAGCTTCGGCTCCGCTCCCTAGTGCCAGCTTTTAAACCTCATCTGTAAAATTTCTAGCCATACTCCCTTCAAAACCCATCTCATTTTTTATCTCCTCCAGGTGGTATTCCTTGATCTATTCATTTTCAAAATGAATTTCTACCTTTTATTCACTATGTTATTATAAAAATTAGGACTGTGTCTTTTATCAAGCAATCGTTATTATGTCTTCTTCTCTATTGTGATATCTGTGCCTTAATTCTTTTCCCAGCCTATGTGGTACATTGCAGATGGGTCCATTTGCACCTTTCATCTCACCAGAGTGTGAACTCCATGAGGGGGGAGATGGAGGTCTTCTTTTCTGGATTTCCCACCTCACAAGCCACCCAGGAAGTCTATGCAGTTTTAAATTAAGCACAGTCCTGATTTCACTCTTTGCTTTTTTGTTTTATTCACTCAACTCCCTAACCGTCCACCTTATTCTATTTGATTTTTCATGTGGAGTTTGAAGATCTGCTTTCCCCTTCTGATTCTGAACTTAGAACTCATTTAACAAGTTAGATTAATGGGGAGCCAGCACCAGCCAGTTATTATGTATATTTTATGTGAGATTCATCCCTCAACACTGGAAGGATGGACTGGAGTATCATAAGGTAGCCCCACCAATCACACACTCTGTCTTCATTACAGTGTCTTCATTACAATTACCAGTTGTCAGCAGTAGGGACAGTCCCCCAGAGGTCTAGTCCGTCTTCTGTAAGAGTACCAGTCTACAAAAAAATTAGAATGGGTTTTAGCAGAAGAGTTAGGGCTTTTAATTATAATTTATACAAAACCCAAACTCCTAAGAAACCAAAGTACATTTATCTGTCCCAAGCCCTTTCTTTTTACATTAGATGTTTATTTTTTAAAAAATTTCATTATTGTTTATATTTATAGTAAATGTGATACTCAGCTCTCCATTAGTTTTCTTTTTTTCTTCTAAAAACAGATTTTTAAAATGTTTATTTTCCATTTGTTCAATGATTCTTTTAAAAATTTAATTTGTTTTTTATATTTCATTAAAGTATAGTTGATGTAAAATATTCTACAAGTTATAGGTGTACTATACAGTGATTCACAATTTTTAAAGGTTATACTCCATTTATACTTATTATAAAATATTGGCCAAGCCCTTACTGGCAACCATCAAATTTTAAATCAGAGAAGAGCACCTGAAGGAAAGATTCAGTTGGTGACAAATGATTCCCAAAAGACCATGTTGAAAATTAGCTTGGGTCTAGTCACTAATTATTATCAAATGCAAGCGTTTCATTTTGTTTGTTTACTGCCATGACCACTGCTGCTGCTGAATGAGAAAGTTTCAGTGAATAGAAATCCAACAAGAACCAGCTCAAGTCTGACTTCTCAGTTGGCACCTGCTGTCTTTCTAAAGCAGAGGTCAGAATTTTTTTCTTTCTTTGAAAGACTATTTAGTTCCTAGTCTGCCATATTCACAGCTATTTCCTAATAGCTGCCATTCACAGCTATTTCCTAAAAATATGGATGACATGGTGACTGTCCAGATTGATAATGAAATGTTGATAAAGGGCTTTGAGACTACAGAGAGAAGTGACGTGCTCATAATAAATATTAATTAATGCCCAGGAAAGGGTTTGACTGTTAGATCAAGAGGAGAATGGTGGGGAGGGTTGATTTGCTGTATCAGGGGAAAGTGTTTGTCAGATAATGTAGCAGAGAAACCAAAATGGGGCTGAGTGCTATCACAGCACTTTTAATTTGCCCATTGCTTCATAGTCGATTATTAATTACAAACCCTAGTGTCTATGCAGTAGGCCAATGGCATTCGGCCTGGTCTACACCCAGTCAGAGTAAGGAGGTGGCTACCACTGGCTCAGCTCTAACTGTCAGTAATGCATTGCGAAGTGCTAGGGAATGTCCTTTTCAACACTGACACCCAGGGTTCTGACACTTTCTTCTTGAAAATCATCACCATATAAGACACTGAAATTTTCAGTTTTCCATCAAATGATATCTTTTATCATCATAGCACATTTGCATTAGCACCATGCTTTACAGTGAAGTGTCTGCAGTGCTTTCTCTTCTTATAACTGAGTAAATAGGGTACAGACAGTCTCAGTATAAAGGTGAAATGAGCAACCCAAGGGTCCAGTGGCACATAGATTGGAGAGAAAGAACCAGGATCCAGGCTGTTTGGGGACTTCCACCAGAAGACAAATGTTAAATGAATTCTGAAAAGCATGTGGAGAGACAAAGTCTGTAGTGAGCTTCTGGGTTAAAGAAACAAGGAAAGTTTGTTTTATTAACTAATTTGGACTTCAAAGGGAGCCAACATGCTTCATGTAGGTTATTCCTTCAACAACAACAGCAAAGGAAAAAAGCAAATCACCTCTTGTTTCATGTACCTCCTATATTTTATAAGGACTCCAATCTGTGTGATTAGATTCCAAAGGCTCTTGAGATGCTCCATTTCAGCAAGAGTTAGCAACTTAATTCAAACTGAAATGTTTTCCTGATGATTAGATATGTTTTAAAACATCAATATCTTGAACATGAAAACAGAGATGATACCATAGCAAAAATAGATAAGGGACAAAGTTATTTCTCTACATGAAAGCAACCCTTATACAATAAAACTAGCCATAAATGGAAAAAGCACTAAATTACAGTTGCTGTTCTAAAGCGAATAAGATAGAAAAATAAAACTTCTTAGTATAAATACTAGCATAGGCTTAGACTGAATTGAATAGAAAAGAGAGAGAAAGAACCTGTTTTAAAGAACTTGTAACAAACCAGTGTAAAACTAGAAATATATGGGCATAAATATACTCAGAAGCCCAGTGGTGAATATCTTCTAAATTGAAATAACACTAGATGGAAATTCAATTGATTGTGGAGGGTTTTATTCTAACATCATGGTGGTAGAGTTTTATAATATGAAAGCTAGAAAGAAACAGAGAATTGTACTTCAACTATCTTATCTTAAAAAGTCGCACAGAAATTTAGTGTCAGATTCATGATTAGATTTCTCATTTCGCTGATTCCCAATCATGAGTCTGCATAATAAGATGCCATCACGACATATGGAGTCTGGCCAAGTCTGCTGCCGAGCATCCTTAGGACAGTCTAGCAAAGGAGCACGAGGATGTGGAGGGAAAAACTTTCTACAGAAAGGAAAGGGAACACCTCTGGAAAAATTAGTTTTAGAAACAGATATATAATGAACACATTTTGTAAATCTCCCTCCTATATTCTACACACTGGTGAGGCTGCTGGGTCAGTAATAGGAATTGCTGTCAAGAGTTGTTCTCTGGCCCTGAATTTAAGAGGTAGCTACTGTTAAGTTAAACTTACAGGTTTCTTTGTCAAAGGAAACTAGAAAAGAATAGAACTGAAACGATGTAAGAGCGATGCCACTTCTACCTGGGGACCAGGATTTATCAGGTCTGCTCATGGTGTCTCTCCAGCTTGGCCTTTGCTCTCTGTTCCTGTCCTCTTTGTCTAGGACAAGGAGCCATCTTGAAGATGCACATGAAGCCCTGAGCAACTGGGCTCATCAGTCCCAGCTGCATCCTGACCACGCAGCCACGTTCTCACCACCCAGAGTCTGGCTCCCTGCCTATTGCATCCCTGGTATCTGTGTGCTGCTGGGCTGCTCACTGCTGAGCCTGGGGCCCATTCTGCCTGACAGCCAAAGCCACAGCTCAGAGCTGACTCCCACCTGCAGCAGGTAACCACACCCCAGTGCTTGGCTCATTATTTAGCATGCATTTCACTGTGTTTTCATCATCTATGTTTCCCTGTCACCTGCTTCCTCAATTAGCTCGTGAGCTTCTCAAGAGCCCAGAACATCTCATTAATGGGGCTCTCTGCCAACGTCAGTTATCTAAAAAGCAGCAAAACCTTCATCATTTATTCTCATGAAAACAAAGTGAAGACATGGAGGGACCAGACCAGACCCCTGCAGTAGAGCTGGCAAACTAGGTACCCAGGTGAGGTGGCTGATACTGCAGCCCTGCCTGGTCCCCCACAGGAGCCGCAGAGAGGGGTCCTGGGACCTGTCCCAGGGCAGCGATCCCCTCCTCTGAACACACTTCGCTTCTGCCACCTTTCCAGGCCCCAAGCACAGACAATCCGCCCCAGTCCTGAGGCTCGACATCCTGGGAAGCAAAGGGGAAAAGAGGGACCAGAGTGTGTAAACACAGGTCACAGCCCCTGCTTTCCAGTTCCTGAAAAGAAGCAATGGAGGAGAAATGAATATGCTCCCTTCAGCTCTGGACAAAGCATCAAGGGAATAGAAATGTTTCTCATATATTTTTTTTTTTTGCCTCAAAAAAGCCAGTCACTCATAAAAGTGATTACAGTAAGAGATTATTTTGAAACCTGAAACAGGCACGAAAATATTAAATTTGACAGGAAAGAAATGTTTGATGTGATAGCTAAACCACTTCCTCAGGACTTGGAAGAGCAGGCTTCTAGAACATGCTCTCACACCAGCTCCGTGTGTGACCTCTGTGGCCTCCGTGTTCCCATCTGTCCCAGGAGGGTGCTGGGCTAGACAGTCTCTGAGGCCCTTCCTGACTCAGCCATGTCCCAAAATCATTAACCTCCAACCTGGGGAGTTGAGCTCATACTTTGTCAAAGCACACAAGATTGATTTGCCCACACATATTGATCCTCTGTGGGGAGATGCAGAAGATTCTCTTTTTCTTCAGCCTCCTCTGTGCATACACGATGCCTGTGGTCAGGGCAGCTGGCAGCACGGGAGGGACCGCCACGGTGAGGAGGAGCAGGGCCATGGCCATGGTGTCTTGTGGAGAGGCCTGGGGAGGGAGGGACACACAGGTTAGCCTGGCAGAAAGCATGGGCACCCTTCCTGGCTCCATCTCCTGTCATACCAATGGAGTTCTGGAAGCTCAGAAGAGTCATCATGAGCCAGCTGTCTTGGTTGGACTGAGTATTCTCCAGGCCAAGTCTCAGAAATCAACAAATGGTCACCCACTGCAGAGGAAAGGAGACCCTGGGCCCACAGCCCACATCCTACTGTCCTGCTTGACCCCGCTTCTCTCCACTCAGCCTCTGTCCACCCAGAGGGCCACCCCTTCTTTGCCCATCAGGCATGTGCATACCCTCTGGACCCCTGGTCACTGGGACTAGACCTGAGTTGTAATATTTCACACATGGCCTGACTGTTGCTTTCTCAACAGTTCTACAAACTCCTCCGGCACAGCATCTTTGAAGTCATCTTGGAATTCATCTTACTCATCACCAGATGCAGAGCCTAGCACTTTCTGACCCAGAGAAGGTGCTCAACACATGCGTGGAGTGCCTGGAAACCTGGTGAAAACTAGGACCAGGATTCTGCCACGATCTCGGCATATATTTACTGCTCTGGGGAAGCCAATAATAAAACTAGCTTGTTCTCACTGGATACACACCCTGGAACGAGCACTGTGTACACACACTGTTTAGTTACTCCTCACAACCGTCTTGTAATGTAAATACTGTTATTTCCTCCATTTAACAGAAGAGAAAATTGAGACTTAAAAAGTAAACAACTTCCCCAAGGCCACATGCTGGTTAAATGGTGAAAATATAATCCCTAAACTATTCATCTAGAAGGAGGGCACAAATGTGTGACTGATATGTCATATTACCAAGCCAAGTCTCACAGAATCAGGATTCCAGGCAATCTACCGAGGATCACAAGACTAACAAAAGCAGGGCCGAGATCAAATCACAGGCTGCATAATTTTCCCATGCTCTATTAACTAATGGCCTTCCCTCTACAACCTTGCCTAGGTTTTTATGAAATTACCTTGATTTTAGCCATAAAGTTATCTTTTCAGTATTGGAAACATAGATTCAAGTTTAGTAACAATTGCTACTTGGCACATCTTTGGGCCAATTCTAGTTTATCATGAAATCCATCATTTCCTGATTTTTACAACCCCAGCCACAGAAGAGCTTTAACCCTGAAGACTCAGCCCTGCCTAATGCTGAGCCAGTTGCCGATAGAAGCAGCCAAAAAGTCTGCAGGTCCAGACCTACAAGAAGATGGGGTATGCAATGAGAATGCTGCTTTGGTGTGTATTGGACATTGAGTCTCACCCAAGAAACTCTCATATGCAGTCACCACCAGGGCTTCCTGGCCCATAGGAGAGGGCTTTTGCTTCTTTTCCTGATCAGTGCTCATGTTTTCCAGAGGAAACTGGCACGCTACCTCAAATTCCAGCCCCACTGGTTTTGACTTTCTTCCTCACTCTTTCCAGACTCTATTCTACTGGTGCCCATGTGCCCTGGTCTCCTCTGCCCTCCTCCCCCCTAGAAATGCTCTCTGAGAGTTTATTTCAGATTGCAATGACTATGCAGAACTCAAGTTTGAACATAAACATTGCCTAAAAATTCTTGTGACTGCCTGTGCTTCTCAACACACACACTTTTCTATGCCATCACCAATGCCGTCAGTTTGGGCATTTTAAAGAGTCCACTCACTCCCGGTTTCATACCTGTGTTCGGATCCTTTTATTCACAATGTTTTATTCTTCCCTATAAGCCCACACTAAGATCCCAGCATGTTTTATAGAAGAGACTGCAAAATTCATAACAGATTCAGATTCTAAGGACCAGAAAGCACCTCGTGGCTTATTTGTGACAACTCTTTCCTGTACAGCCATCACAACTATTCAGAGAGACATCCAAACAAAACCAGACATCATGAAGCTTATAAAGGGAAGTGCAGATCCATACAGTACACAGCTCTGTAAAAGCAGGCATTCAATTTCATCTCAGAACCCAACAAGAACACAGGGCAACTCACTGACTGCCTGATGTGTTGAGTATTCCCTTGATAATATACACACTCAAATACATCAACACTTTCAAACAGTCCAAATGTCTAGGCATGGCATTCAATATCCCCTTTAATCTGATGTAATCCTACCTTATTAGATTTATTTCATAACTGCTTGATAGTTTCAGCATTCCTTTGTGTTTTTCTGCCTTTGCATTTCTGTCATTCAAATGTGTATATCCTTACTGCTTTCTAATCTTAAGACCAAATCTTCCCCATCCTACAATGTTTGAGAAGCATGTATTTCCTCTGAGGGAACATGTATTCCTCTGGGCTTGAATATCACAAATGCCACACATGCAGTAACCTTTCACTCCCATCCAGGTGGTGAAAGGAGCTGTGAACTTCACAACTGTTAATAGCTACGCCTTCCAATACAATTTCTACTAATCACATGTGGCTATTTTAATTTTAAAAAATTGAAAATTTATTTTCTTTATTACACCAACACATTTCAAGTGCTCAGTGAACACATAGTTAATGGTTAGCAAGTTGACCAGTGTAGAGATATAGAATATTTTCATCAGTCTAGAAAGCACTATTGGATGATATTGATTCAGAATTATGAGACTAAAAGGAAATTTTATCTAACCCTTTAGTTAGGTTAAGTTCCTTGAGAAAGTTATCCTATTAAAAAGCCCTACCCCCCAAGTACTTACTCCATGGTACAGAAATACACCAAGGGCATAGAAAAAACCCATGACTCCAAGGAAGGCCAGGGATACTATGAACTTGAAGGCATCATTGTACAGTTTGAAGTTCAGAGGCCGGGGGTAGAGGATGGATCTCACCAAGTCCCCTTTGGCTGTATTGTAACCTACACAAAGATAATCACAAGTGGTGTAAGGTCCTTTAATACATTTTCCCCTAAAATCTAAAAGAAAAAAATGGTTTGCATTGAATTAAGAATTGGTTAATAAAGTCATCTGAATATGGAATTAAAGCAGTATTGTTGTGACCTAACAGTTTTACATTTATTATTCTTCCAAGTTGCCAGGAATAATAAATGGTGTTCACTTAGCCCTTCTCAATTTCTCTTGCTCTGAGGGTCAGTGTTTCAATGGCTCAAACAATGTAACCCCCACTTCACATATGGGGCTCAGAAAAAGACCAAGGAGCTGATGAAGGCAATGACCAGAGAACAAGAGATGCTGAGAGAAGAAGACTTAAAGAAAAATATGGAAAAAAAAAAAAAAAGAAAAATATGAGTTGAAAGTAATGGAAAATTAAGAGAAAAGTAAAACACAAGGCAAGTAATCTTATATGCCCCTGGTCATGTTATTCTTAAACTCAAAAACCTTCCAGACCACACACATTTTAGAATAAAGTTCAAATTTGCAGGCATAGCATTTGAGGTCTCCTGCCTCATTAGGCTTATCCCTAGTCCCTGCTCCCTGGTCCCAGAAGGCCTCCATGCATTCCTTCTTTCATGTTTCTTAGATGCAAATTAGCCTATTTTTCCAGCTCTCTGATACGATTGGCAAAATCCTTCCCACTGTATCAGGTTTGGCTCAAAATACCATCTCTTCAAATAAGTATTTCCCGAATTCTACTCCCATATTTCATAATCAAAGTAATTTCTCCCTCTGTCTATAATTTAGAGCTGGTATTTGCCAGTTTCAAAAAAGGATAAAAACCACTTGGTCATATGACATCCCTCTATGCACTGTGTTTTGTTAGCTATAAATCCATCTGTCTCTTGTATCAGATCATAATCTTCTTTGAGGGCAAAGAGTATCTCACATTTGCTTTTCTTTAGCCCTCTATGCATTGCACTTAGTAAATACTCATTCACCTCTAAAGTACTGGCAAAAAGAGTGACTACTATATATTCCAGACATGAATCAGTATTGTAAGTATAAAGCATGCCTTAATCCCACTTCTTGATGAACATCTGCTCTCCTCAAACATGGCTTTGTAGGCTTTGAAGGAAAACAGCTGAGTTTTCTCTAACCTGTTGCTTTAGAATTTTACAAGCTCAAATCAGGAGTTTCCACGATCTCCACCCATTAGGGTTTTCTTAGGCAGCAGCTTGAGGGATATTCTCATGCCCACTGACTACCTTGAGCATAAAAACCCCTCCGACTTTGTTATTTTTATTAAAAAACTAGGTAGAAAAGTTGAATCATGGACTAAACTAAAGCATAGAAATATCAAAATGCAAGATATATTTTGGGTCTATGAGTATGTGGGGTGGCAGAAACACAGGTCAGGGGTGAATACAGAGAGCTGAGACCAGACCATGGAAGGTATTGATTATGTAATGTCATGTGAAAGAATGGGACTAATCGTCTTGAAACATTCTTGAGCATGGTATTTATGAATTGCTCCAAACTATGTTTTAGAAGTGTGACTTGGTGACAGTTTGAGGAATAGGTTAGAGAAAAATTGAGCAAAGCATAAAAAACAATATTTAAGGTTAAAGTTAAAGGGATACTTTCAAATAAATATCTATCTCTTCTATAATAATTTAGACATGAGATGATAGCTTAGATAACACCAACTATGAGGATGAAGAAGAGGGAGGGCAACAGGACACAGGAGGTATTTGAAGAATCTGTAGGATGTGGTGCCCTATTTAGTAGGAGAGAAAATGAGGAGTAAAGACAATATGAAGCAACTTGCTAGATGGTGATGATGTCTACAGAAAGAGGCACTAGAGGAGGATGAGTCCCCTTGTAGATGCCTTGACTTTGAAGCATCTTTGGACCTGTTGAAGGCATCCAGCAAAAACCTTGAGATAACAGCCTGGTATATGACTCTTTGAAAAGAAAAATTTCTTAAGTGATCATGGTTGAAACTATTTTCTTGGTAATCACTTAGAGGAAGTACAGAATGAAAAGAGAAGAAGTCTATGGACACATAGTAAAACCAAGAACATAGTGTTTGCCTTTGAGGAAGTGTACTTCATCCCCATATGCACTTCATCACAAACAACAGTATTCACAATGAACAGTTCAGTTGGAAATGGCAGCAACCTGGAATAACAAGCATTTCATTGGAAACCAGAATGTGACAAACTCCATGATCCAGCTCCCCCACCTCTAATAAGGGACCATGTTTACAAAAATGGAGTCTACTGACCTGTTTGCAAAACAACTGCTCTTACTGGCCCTTGCCCAGAGGGCTTGACCTGAATAACTTCTGTTCCACAGAAAAGAACATGTTTCCGATAATCTTCCAAGCTGTGGGATTTCCAGGCTGTGGTATTCTCCACATGGGGCAGTGGTGTCTTTGTAACAGGTATACTTTCTCCTAAAGAAGATGGTATTTTGTTGATTTTGTGTAGACTTGGGTAGTAATTTAGAGCTGGTATTCACCAGTTTCAAGAAAAGATAGAAATCACAGTTAATCTGGTTGTTCATTCCTATCTCGAGTCGGATGACTATTCTTAAGGATGTTAGTGATGCAAGCAGTGGTATACTTGATTATATTTCAAATATTTGTTTAAGATTTGCCTATCTCTCCCATACCTGGCCAGTATGGCTTACTGTTTTTTATTTAAAAAGCATCCTATTTTAGAGAAAGGAGTTGCCACTTAATCATTTTCCTAAGTTTTCTTTAAGCCCAGCACTATTCTAGGCATGAAGAAGCTACAAAGCATGTGTATAGTTATTATTACTTGCCTCTTATTCACTTGTTTATCTGTCCATTCATCCATTGATTTGGCAAATATATCTAAGTGCTTATTCCATACCAGGCATTGCTCTAGATGCTGGCAACATAATAATGTATAAGACAGAAATTCTGACCTCCTAGCTCAGGAAGCCAGGCCAGTAAATATCAGTAATTAATTAAAATACAGTGTGGTAAATATTTTGGTAACAGAACTAGGTGATCTGAAGAGCCAAACCAAAAGGAAGATCAGGAAAGATTTCATGTACAAGTAATAGGTGACAATTGAAAGGCAATAAACTCAGTCACCTTAAGGAGGACGGGAGAGTGTTCTTAGGAGATCTAAAAGAAACAGCATGGTGTGCTCTGGGTATTAATGGCAGTTGAGGGTGTTTGGAATGTTGAGTTTGGGATAGAGGAAAGTAGCCCTGGAAGTACAGAGATGGGTGAGAAATGATGCCTGCAGGAAATCTGTACAATATTTTCAATACTCTTCATGCTGGGGTGGAAGGAGAGGGAAACAGATGAAGATCGTCAAAAGGTACCAACTTCTCAATAAGATAAATAAGTAGTAGGGATGTAATGTACAACATGATAAATATGATTAACACTGAATATGACCAATACTGTCACATGTTATATATGAAATTTGTTGTGAGAATAAATCCTAAGGGTTCTCATCATAAGAAATTTTTTAAATTTCATTATTTATTTATTTATTTATTTTTTGTAAGATGATGGATGTTCACTGAACTTGTAATCATTTCATGATGTAAGTCAAGTCATGCTACACAACTTACATTTATACAGTGCTGTACGTTAATTACACCTCAAATCTCGAAGGAAAAAAATATTCTTCATGATCTTTTTTGGCTCTTGCAGTGAAAGAGAAATTAATGTATCAAGATAGGACCTCGGTTTCCTCTTCCTCTTTCTGGATGACCTCAGCAGTACTTCCGGTAATTAGCATGCCTAAAAAGATATACCGGTAATGCCTAGCTCCATCTTTCCTCTCTCCTGGGCCCTTGTTTGGTGCTTCTCAGTTGTTGGCCGTTCATCCCAACCTGGATATTCTACTAGCCTCTGGAACTCAACATTTCTAAAATCTGTATCAATATTTTTAGCTCCAAATTTCCTCTTGAAATTTCTTTTTCTCTTATGGTCTTACCCTGTTGCTGAGTCACAGATTTACAATCTCAGAACCATTTTGATTCCTCCTCTTTCCATAATCTGCCTTTTCACAGAATGATTTTCCAAGTCCTAACATACCTTCCTGTGTCATTCTTGGACTCGTCTTTCTAGGTCCCAGTGTGCTTAAATGGCAATTTCTGTCTGGTTCTTGGTGTTGCATTAACAATGGATTAGCTATGATTTGTTTAGCTCTCTGAAGTGCAAACATGTCCTCTGGGTAATCTGAGGCTACAATGGAACTAATCAATCTTTTTCACAAATAAACCTCTCAACTTTGAAGTCCTGAACTAAGAAAATCTCCAATCCTTTCTTATGTGTTTTGTCTTTAGTCTCATACCTACTGCCATACTCACAAAGCTTCTGACACCAGATGTGTAGGGTTTTTTTTTCCTCCACAACATGCAATTCTGTGACATCAGCTGATTGTCCTATAATTTAACTCAATTAAATTCAATTTTGATACCATCTATCTGGAGATAGTGTCACATTCCACAGATTAAGGGCCCAGTCCTATAAGACTATTCCCACCCCATTCAGATGTCAGCTGCAAATCCAGTTTGTCATCTGTGCTTCTGAAACATGACCCATAAATCTGAGGATCTCATGATCCCTTCCTTGGATTCAGTTAATTTTATAAAGCGGCTCACAGAATTCAGGGAAATACTTACTTACATTTAGCTGTTTATTAAAAAGTATTATAAAGGACACAGATGGACAACCAGGTGAAGGGATACCTGGGGAATGGTCTGGGAGAGATCTGAATACAGGAGCTTCTGTCCCCCTGGAGTTGGATCATATTCCTGGTATGTGAGTGTGCTCATTCACCTGGAAGCTGTTTGAACTCCATACTACTAGGATTTTATGGAAGCTTCCTCATGTAGATATGCTTAATTATCAACTCCATTTCCAACCTTTCTTCCCTCTATAGAGAAAGGGGTTTGAGGTTGAAAATTGCAAGCTTCTAATCATTGTTTGGCCTTTCTGGGGACCAGCCCCCATCAAGGAGCCATCCAGGTATCCACCAACAGTGGCCTCCTAAGAACAAGAGATGCTCCTAGTGCTTTAATCAAGTAGGAATTTACAAGTGTTTCAAGAGCCCTGTGCCAAGAACTGGGTCAGAGACTAATATATCTATTTTCTCTTATCTCCCATTCTCCTAACTGTCCCTCCCCTCCTGTCCCCGCTTTCAGTCTTCCCAAACCATTTCCAGATGAATCCTAACAGAGGCCCCTTTTATTATCTCATTTTTTTCTCAAAAATCCTTCAACCTTTTCAATTGCCATTACTAATAAGCCTCAAACTCTCCTGCTAGGTTGTCAGAGCCACCACCATCTAAGCATCCTTGGCTGTTACCAGTCTACACAGACTTCAGCTAAGCTAGGCTATGGATGCTTTCTATTACTGACTCCCATTCTTGGCCAGTATTCTTCCTCTTATTTCCCTAATGGATGTACAACCAGATATTTCAGATACAAAGAAAATCAGCTCATACTTCAAAAAGAATAAGCTTCAGAGACAAAATAAAAATGCTAATAACACTTCTGGGCTCATAGATTTAAAAAGCACTAGAATCAGTGGAAAATCCGATCAGATTTTTGCTATTCAATTAGCAAGATAATGTCATATTTCCTGTTTGGAAACACAGTTGTACTGAGTGTAGTTATACAAGTTTAGGTTCTTTCTCATGATCTAGGTAATTTCAGAGGGCAAGGACTTTGACATTTAAAATTTTTATATTCAGCATTTTCCCATGGATCCCAGGGAAGGATGGATTCTCCAAACAAAAGTTTGGAGATCTATATAGGGTGGAGAGGGTTTCAGAAGGAAAGACACTCACAGCCAACTGTTCACTTGGCTTCTGAGACCTGAAGATCCTGGCTGCTGTGAAATTGAAACTCCCTCCTTTGTCCACAATGAGCCAGATGTCTCTGCATGGTGACAGTGTTTTGAAAGGTCAGGTCCCTGTTTATTTATACTTCTGGGACCATCAGATCATAAACTACTTGAGGGCGGGGACACTTTCTCATTTCTCTTGTTGATTCCAGCACACAGTGCAGTGCTGGCACATAGCAGGCATCTCTGAAACTTTACTGAATAAATGAGAGAAAGACAGGAGTGAGAGAGAAAAAGAAAGGAAAACAGGAAGAGAGGAGAAGATCTGATCTATCCACTAACTACAAGCTTGTCTGACAGGATATAAATATGAAATAACCTCTTAGGGGAATTTCTGTGTCCAGCTCAGATCACTACATGATTCTGCACGTATGATTCAAATAGATTAGTAATTCTAATGAACAGAGAGAGGGTGGGGGATTGTGGCAGAGTGAAAGTTACCTCTCCCCCTCATAATTATCCCTAAGAGAACGAGGAACAGTAATTGCAAGCGTAGGCTCTGGGGACAAAATGGCTGGGCTTAAGTATTTTATTTTCTTCATAGAACTTACTGCTATTGGGAACTTATGTCATTTATCTACCTTCATGTTTTCTGTCCTCCCACTAGAGTCCGCTGCATGAGGGCAGAAATCTGCCTATTCACTGCTGTCTCCCCAGCACCTAGTAGAGCATCTGCTCCATAGTAGCAGCTAATAAACATTTGTGGAATGAATGAATGAACGAATAAACAAATGAATTCTAATTTCAGCTCTACCACTTTCAAGTTGTGTAACCTTAGGCAGATAAATTATCCTCTCTGGACCTCAGATTTTCCCACTTTACAGAGTTGTGGATTGAATGAAAAAACATGTGTAAAACGCTAGCATAACACCGAATACTCATGAGAGCTAAGAAAAATTAGCTATTGCTACCAGGAAAAAATTTCTCCCCATGGTACTCCCTTTTTCCTCTGGACCCTTTGGGAAGAGCTAAATCTTGAAGGGGATCACTGTCTCAGGAGGCACAAGAAAAGAGCAAGGGACTGGCTTTTGAGTTTCAAAAGTCACTCATAAATTTACCATGAATTTTAGAGATCACCTGAGAGTAAGAACAAAGCTTTTCTGCTCATCATGCCTTTCCTTTACAACTTTTCTAGCCAAATAAAAATCCAAGGAGTAGGAATTGGAAGAAAGTCTAAAGAGAGCTTGGATATTGTATGTCTATGAGAGAAGGGGCCCGAACCAAAAATAGGACATGGAAACATTCTAGAAGTTTGTGGAAACTGAGAGCAAACGTCACTAAGGTCTGCCTCCTGGTAGATAGGTCCCCGACGTTCCCCAAGCTCTGAGTGGCGTGAGGCAACCACAGAGAGGAGCGTGTCCTAGACCAGGGTCCTCTCCCCAGTACCTGGCACAACTTCTGTAGCCAGACTAGAATGCGGGGTGCAGGGGTGGGGCTCCTGCTAGCTACTGGGGAGGTCCTGCTAACTGCTGGGGAGGCCCTGCCAGCTACTGGGGAAGTCCTGCTAACTGATGGGATACCTGACTTATATCAGATGCTTCACACCACACACTTTCAAGAATGGCCAAATTTGAAGCCAAAATTAAAATGAAGTGTAGGTATAAAATAAAGTTGAGCTTTTTGCATAGTGGAGTTTATGACGAGAGGAAGAGGCTAAGATGATGCTAAGGAAAATTCTACAATGTGCATGTGCTATAAATGGGACTAATCCTGAAAAAGGAAAAGGCAAGAAGACACAAAACTAAAAAACAGTAGCTGTACCCATCCTCAAATCATTGTCTTCACTCCTACGGTCCCTCGTGCCTGGAAGCCAATTCACCTCCAACTCGGACTCTTTCACTCATTAGCTGAGCAGCCCTAGTCTCTTCACCCCAGTTTCCCTATCTGTAAATTGGGTATTATAATAGCACCTAGTCTAATTTGTTTTATGCTACAATGAAGTGAGATATAAAAATTGTTTATGAAGGTATAAATTGCTATAGAGATGCTAGGAACATTTGCTACTCTTCTTACATAAAGACTTCTGTATATGTAAAGGACTATTTTTGCACATGGGGGATATTACCTGAGTCACATTTGTGAACACATACTCAAGAAATACGGTTGCAGTTTCAGGAATCCAACCTTAATCTAATTACTCCATCAGGATCCTTCCCAGGAATACATAGTGAGTGGGAGGATCTAGGCAAGCTATGTAATAAAATATTCAAAGCATGCTGATACTGAGGTCTATTTCAAGAAATTAATGAGAAAGAGATGGATATATTTCTGTTTTATGTGTTTATCTCTAAAGTTGACTTTATCAGTACTTAGGTTGCATAGATATTAATGCTGATGACTTTATTTCTCCTGAAACAGGCCCTCAGAAAAGCCACTGACCATTTGAGGTCATTTTAGGTCAACTTTGCACATTTGCCTTTGTTGCTTCTCTGGGACTTTCTGAGTTTTCCTAAGAATCAGGCAAGCATGATCCTCCAGGTCAGTAGACCCTGCTGTGTGTCCCCTCTCTATTCTCACTGCCATGCTCTCTGTTACCTTCAGAGACACTGTTCTTGGTCTTCAGGCTACTGGGAATGAGAGATAGTGATTACCTCTGAGTGAAGAGCAAGGTTTTCTTCAGTGTGAGGTTTGTACTTGAGATACTATGGCAACATTTTGGATGAGAGGTACAATCAGTATGCAAATCCTCATCACTACCATTACAAGGCAGTTAGATCTTAACACATTAAAGGGGTATTTTGTAATTATACTGCACATGTTTATGTTTACTGCATTTTCTTGTCTCAGTTTTAAATTAAGCAGGCTCATCTTTTAATGGCAAATATGCTTCTGTTGAACAATTTATGAATGAGAGAATGACTCTCTTTATGTTTAGGTAATGTTAAAAAGTTTTGTGCATGTGTTTTTTCTTTTCCTTGTCTTTACACTATTTGGAAACAGAAAAATGTACCAACTGTAAACTCAAAAGACCAATAATTTCTTTTTCGTGTTTCCGTATGATTTTTTTCTTCTTTTATTAAGATGCCCTGTGTATTTTCTTCTTCTTTTTTTTTTTTGGCTTAAAGAATATGTTATAGATAGTGCCTTACTAATTACACAAATTCAAATGGACTGTACAAAGTACAAATGAGGACAAGGACAGTTCAAGCCATAACTAGAAAACCAGTTTTTTGCTCAGTGAGATCAACTGGAAACACGATTCTAAAGAACGGAACTGTTTTACTGCCTTTCTGGAAGACCCAACTCAATCTTTCTCCCACTGAAAACTGGGGCTCAGTTTTCCATCTACAGAATACAGGGCTGGATAAAATCTCTATGCCCTGTCAATTGTGAGGTGACGGTTTTAGCCTGTGTTTTGTTCAAACAGGTGTATTAACGATCCTCATATTTATAAAGAGATTGTGTATCAAATAGTAGGGTCCTCTCACCCACCTCTGAACTCAAAGCATCTTATTCATCTCACTCATGGGGTAATTAATTAGTTCCAAGTTGTATCAGTCTTTTCTTCTAGTTTCATATGTATCGTGGTTTTCATTCTTTTATTTTTAAATATTTCTCATCTACGTATATTGCTTTCATTCACATGAATAGTCTGGATGTGTCTTCCCCATCTATCTCTCAATACCTTTCTTGTTGTTGTTCAGTCACTAAGTTGTGTCCATAAAGCAGGTAAGTGTATGCTGATCTGCTTTGCTCACTTGACCTGGTTGTTGGAAGGAAAGAAAGAGGAAGCTCCATGACAACTGCCTACCTGTGAGCATGCCTTCATTCACCACGCAACTTCCATCAATCAGAACAGCATCGCATGGCAATGAAAGTTTTCCTGGAAGAACAAGAACATCTCCAGGAACCAAGAGACGGGATTCCAGCTCTTGCAAACCTATATAGGAGCAACATTTTCATGATCAGTTGAACTTTTCCTGTTTTTACCTAACAATAAAAACAGCCAAGAACTCTTATCAACTTTTTGGTTAAGAACTACCCTGCATGCTCACCTGCTCCAGCCTCTTTCCACTCAATTGCAGATTCCCAGAAGACTAGGATTAGGGAATTGGTGTCTGGGTCTTAGGAAAGGATTTTCTCAGCAATAAGATCCCATCTTGATCCTAGTACCTGGGACAGCGCTCTGCACACAGGAGACCCGTAAGGGCATTGGTCCATGGAAGACCAATGTGTCTGCTTACAGACTTTGTGTCTGCTTACCTCCTTTAGCTGGGTTCCTGACCCCCTATAGCACACTCAGTACTTGGATTGGGGCCCATGTAAACACTCCAGACAACTTCCACTGCTGTGGAGTGCAGCTCTTCAATCCTTGCTGAGAACTGTGGTCACCTCAGCCCAGGTAACTCGGAGCAAATGCCAACTGTCCATCCAGCTATCTATAAGCTTTATACAGGTCTGCTTTCCATATAACAAATAGAAATATATGCTGCTGGGTCTGTTTGAGATGGTTAGTTAGCAAATCAAAAAGCCTTAAGAAGGCTTACCCAGTAACATTCCAATGAGTGAAATATGGAGTTCAGAGGGGATTTGAAATAAACCACATTGAGTAGAAACAGTTCAATCAAGGTGAGGCATGCCAGGCACCGAAGGTACAGAATTCAACAAGGGCTCACTCTCAGTATACTGCAGGTACAAGTCAGCATTCTTATGACCTTGCTGCCTTAAATTTTCAATCTGTGATGACTTGTTTGCCTCACCCAGCCCCAGTCCTCAGTATAATCAAAAAAGACTTTTCCTCCTTGACTAATCATCAAAACAAATGAGACCAACTCTACTCCAAATACTAGGATGCTGATGAAAGCAAAACACATCACTTACCTTTGCCTTTTACAGTGATCTTGACCTGGACTTTGTTGTGATCCTCCACGAGGTTGTGCAGCTTCACTGATTGCTATAAATTTAAAATCAGCATTTAAATGTTAGATAGTCCATATCCTGAAAACCACCTGATCTCAGTACAGCAAATGCTGCTACAGAACCTGCTGCCACAGTCAAACTGACTCTGGGAAAGACTCAAGTCTACTTTCCAAGCTCCTACTTTCCTGTTTCAACCCCTACTTCACCCAGCTCCCTATTTAGAGCAGCAAGTATGCTTATTAGCTTAATGCTAATTCAACCCCAGGAAAAATGATGCACAGCCACTGTTTCATGGGCTCAAGCTAAGGAACTGAGACTTCATTTCTGGAGGATGCATGATTAGACTGGAGAAAACCAATGAGACCACGAAAAGGTTACTCCTCTTCTCTATGTCTCTGTTGCCCTGTCTGTAAAAAGCAAAGCTGAGTTTGATCTGCAAGGGGTTTCCATTGTAAGAGCCTCTGAATATTTAGGTTGTATTTGATTGCATGTGGAACAACCATCAGCTCTTCTATGAACTGGTGGATTTTCATACTGGATAATTCTGCAGACTGGAGTCATACTGCTCAATTTGGAATTGTGGTGCTACCACTTATGAGTTATTCAGCCTGTTTAACTCCCTTTTCCTCATCTAAAGGTGAAGGAAAGAACTGTATCTATTTTATATGATTGTTTTAAGTTACTTTATGCTTATTTTACTTATCACTTCTGATAGTACTCATTACTATAGTAAGAGTTCGATGAGTGGAAAAGAAAAAAAAAAAAGCTCACAAAAAAAAAACAAAACAAAACACTTTTCTGAGTACATCAGCTGAAAAAATTCACTTGAAGTGGGATTCATTGAGAGAAGACCCTGACAAAGCAGAGGGAATGAAAGCAGCCTGGAGAAGTGGAGGAAGCATCTCATAGGATAACTCAGAGAATGAGAAAACAGAGGTGAGAAAGGACGTGATCCACAGAGTCGTCTAAACTGACTCTCAGGCCACCAGACAGAGGTGAGTGTGACGCCAGACCAACCAGAGCCTCCCTGGAAGGCTCTGTATGGATGTCAGTTACTCAGATACCTCTAAGTAGAAGAGGTCTAAATACTGTCAACAGAACTTAAACACCATAACTTAGCTTACCATACAGCTTACCATAATTCAGATATAATAAAACTTCTCTTTAGATGTTAAATTATTTTTGTCCGTTTTGTTGATAATGTTTTTAATGTTATAAATGTCACCAGGCTTAGACAAGAAATACACACAATTATGCAACTTTCCTCTTGAGAGAACATAATGATTTTGGTAAGTTTGGTATTAATATTTATGTAGAACAATTTATTACTTATTTCAGTTTTGCTTGAAAAACTAAACTTCAATCATTTGGGCCAACTGAGTGGAAAAAGTGACATTACTGTTGGGCACATATTCATTGGCCTAACTTGACTTCCTGAGGCTTGCATGTTGGGGTATTCATTTAATTATGGATGACAGTGAGAATGTGGTTTGGTAACAAGACTGCTGGATTCAGTCAGGATTCCTGAGTGGTGGGTCAGGCTTACCCACCAACCAGTCAGGTACCCCTATATAACACATTTCACCATATAAGCTATCTCTTTCCTTTGTCAACAGACAACATTGAATTGGATCATTTTCAGGTTCCCTTCAAGCTCTACAAAAACATGATACTGATTTATTTGCATGTCAAAGATTCATTCAGACTTCCAAGGCTTCATAGGAGAAATATTCATAGTATAATAAATGACTCAAATCATTGTTTTTAAATAGTTTAAAACTTTATTCAGTCACCAAGTGCCAGGTGTTATTTTACACACTTGGAATATGTTGCTTGATTTTTTTAATCCTCAAAATAATCCTATGATGAAAATGCTATTACCTCCAGTGTACATATAACTAAAAACAAAAACAATAAAACAAAAAACAGGGGCTTAAAAATGTTAAAGTAACTTGCCCACAATCACTGACTTATTAAGTATGAAAATCAACAACAACAAAAAGGTTCATCTGACTAAAGCCTTTTCTGTGGGTGAAGATGTTCTCTGAAAGTGCTTGAAAGCAGCTTTTGTCCTTTAAGAAGAGAAACATCCTTCCTTACAAATTTCTTTATTTTCTTGCGTAGCAAATTACTTTAGTCAATGTCAATTTCAACTTCGCTTAAGAGGATGGTAACACATTTGGAAGTGGTGAAGTCTGAGTCAATAATGCTTGACTATAATTCTGCAAACTCATGAAGGCATAAAGCTGAATTTGTTTATCAATCTTAGCATCTTGCATAACCTGCCAGGCTTTCCTGTCTTTGCTTGAGCTATTTCCTATAATGTTCACCCCCATTTTCTACTAGCCAACTCTTTCCATTCCTATACATAAAACCCTGTTGAAATATCTCCAACCCATAAGTCCTTAACACTCACAGGAAGAATTAATTGTTCCACTGTCTGTGTTTCCTCCTGTATTAGTGCATAGATCCCATTCCACTAGAGCTATCTGTTTTCTTGTCAGGTCTCCCCTCCTGGAGGGGGTTCAAAGGAGGTTCAAAGATGGGACCACATATTCATCTACGTATCCCCTGTGGCCTTCACATAGTAGGCCCTCGGCAAATATTTATTAACTGAGCTGAATAATTCTACTTCACCCAACAATTCTGCAGTAGGATAATATAAGCATCCTCTTTGAGCTAATGTACTCAGAAACCCTACACACACAGGTTTCTATGACAACCAACCAGCTAGGAGAAAGCCAGCACTGTGATGCTTGCCATGATTTCCAAGCTCGCTGCCTGATTTTCATTAGGCCCCCTCTGGTTTCTCCAGTCCCTGTTCAGTGAGACCAGGATTCACTTCCAAAACGAATTTGCATATTGTTATTATTCGGCATCTGTTGCTGTGTGTCCTTGTGTTTGCAGTGGCTGGATTTCCTCCAGAGATGAATAATGAGGGCATTAACTCAGGTGTCTCCTGAGCCCAGCTCAGTCCTGAATGAGGCAGAGAACTATGGGCCAGCTATGTCCATGCTATTGACAGCAGCCACCCCTGGAGCCGGCAGTGGAGCGTGCAGTACAGTTCAGTGAAAATGCAGTTGGGTGCCAAGGCTTGTGCTCACATCTGCATCAAAAGTGGTACAAAGGGACCATGTTGCACTGGGGTGTTTCTTGACCTAGGCAAGGTAACCTCTCTCTAGCGACATTGTCAGTGGCTGGAGTGGATGCAGGGGGATATCTTATCCCACTTCTGACAACATTCTTCTTTGCAGTTTTCAAAAGCAGGTATTTGTTTAGCATAATTTAGAAATGGCAAAAAGTAGATGCTTTTTCTTCCCTTTCTCCCAGCTCTCCTGCCCAAATCTGCTTTCTGTTATAAATTATCAAAACATCATTTACTGCCACAGGAAGCTCACAAGTTACTTGGAAATTTTGCTCAAGGGGAAGGTGACTCAGAGTCAGGAAACCTGGGATGAAGGCCTATAGCCGCCTTCCTGGGGTGAATGTGATTAAATCACTTTACCTCCCCGGTTGCTCCTATCCCTCCCTCTCGTTTGTGTGTCATTTCACAGTTTGCCAAGCCTCATACAAGCACCTTCATTATAAATGTCAGATTCCACTGCAAATTGTAAAGCACTAAATGGATTAGCTGAGGACTATATTAATTGATTAATAATATAGCAATTAATTAACAATATTAATTGCTGAGGACTTGTGATTTAAACTACAAAGAGTTTCAGGAAACTGGCCCATTTTGTATAGTGTTACAAGAGGCCTTGCAGGTTGGGTCAGATAAGCTTTTATTAACAAACACTAACTGCTAATGAGCTTAGTGTCGTCATTTCAAAGAAGTCTTTTGCAATATTGCCATCAAGGCTGAAATTCCCATGCTACTGTTTGGAGTAAAAGAAGGCATTCAGGGATTTTTAAGTTGTAGGATCTGAATATTTAAATTCTATGAATAATTTTAAAGTAAATATTAGGAAAATGACAAATAGAAAAATTAAAATACCTAATTTTGGAAAAGGAGAACTTTATAACAAAAAAAGAGGAGACTTTTAAAACAAAAACCCAGAAATCATAAAGAAAAAGAAACATATTTAAATAGACATATTTTTTAAGTCTAGCAAAAGTCAAGGTCAAGATAAAGAAGAGTTAAAAATAGAACTTTTTCATGTATATAATGGATATAAAAAAACAGTAAATAAAAGTGCAAATCTCTTTTAGACAAAGGAAAGTGTGTCTAATCTCAATAGTAATCAGGGAAGTGTAAACTAAAACATCAATGAAACACAATTTTCAAAAATGTTATTAAATGGAAAATTTTAAATACCAAGGTATAACACCTAATGCTGGTCAGGATCTGGGAAAATAGATATTCTCATATGTTGCCAATAAGAGACTGAATTATTCCATTTATGGAAAATAATACTATAGTATTTATTAACATCCAAAATATACATATCTTATTTTGCTGAAAAAAGAGACACAAACACTAATATGTAAGGATACACTACATTGTAGTTAGTTTTAATTCAATATATGTATTGTAGAGAAGAAACCCCTTATTTTCCATAAAGAGGAAAACAGTTGAATAAATTATGGTGGGTCATGGTGGCTCAGATGGTAAAGTGTCTGTCTACAATGCGGGAGACCTGGGTTCAAGCCCTGGGTCGGGAAGATCCCCTGGAGGAAAAATGGCAACCCACTCCAGTATTCTTGCCTGGAAAATCCCATGGATGGAGGAGCCTGGTGCAGGCTACTGTTCATGGGGTTGCAAAGAGTTGGGCACGACCGAGCAACTTCCCTTTCCCTATGGAATATCACATCATTATTTTTAGACACAATTTAGAATTATTTATTATGGTGGATGGCCATTATATAAACTGTAAAGTGAAAAATGCCAGTTCCAGTTTAATTCATATAGGACAATTCTGTTTTGATTAAAAACAAATAAGAAATTCATCGAGGAACTTCTGTGGTGGTACAGTGGATGAGAATATGCTTGCCGATGCAGGGGACATCAGTTCGATCCCTGGTTCAGAAAGATTTCACATGCCTTGGAGGAACTGAGTCCATGTGCCACAACTACTGAGTCCGCGTGCCTAGAGCCTTTGCTCTGCAACAGGAGAAGCCACCACATTGAGAAGTCCATGCATTGCAAGGAAGAATAGTCCCTGTTCCCAGCAACTAGAGAAGGTAAGCAACTGAACGGAACTGAACGGGAGCTTGCCAGGCTGGCTTAAGCAGAAGTTGAGAACTTATGAAGATGCAGGAATGTCTTACGAACCTAAGGTGGAAGCACAGCCAAGTCTCCCAAGGGAGTTTCCAGACTAGGAACAGGGAAACGCTGTGAGAAACAGGTTATCTGTCTCTGTTGGACTGATCATTGCTAACCTCTGTATCTCACTGTGTATTTTGCTCACTCTTTTCCTTACTTGTTCTGAGGAAGTGTGTGTGTGTGTGTGTGTGTGTGTGTCTCTGCTTGTCCATATGCAGCGATCGAGGGTGGCCACCCTGGTCCTAGCTATACATCACAGATCACTTTCCTAACAGAGTATGGCCAGCAGCTTCAAGCCTTTATTCCAGGATCCCACGCAGAAGGATTCCAGTCAGCTTCCACTGGATCAGATGCCCCCTTTCCAACTAGTTGTGCCAGTGGGGGGAGAAAGCCACATGAAACGAACCATCTGTGGGCTGCCAGAGCTCTAGGTACACCTAGTTTTCAGAAAAATAGGAGTGAGGGTACAGCATTTTCTCCAAAATATGTTTGCTTCATTGCATACTTGCCATAGAATAGGAGGCTGGGAGGAGGAACCCAAGTTCCTCAGTTCAGTCCTGTGGTGAAGGCCATCTATGCTTTACGTCCTTGGGTTCCATGAGCTCAGTTCAGTTCAGTTGCTCAGTCGTATNTTTGCCATGAGCTACTGTGTGTATTTATAATATATATTCCTTTTGTGATGAAGGGAATTAAAATGATCTTTTATTATTTGTCCACTCCTGACACAGTAGTTTATGTGATTAATCAGTCTGAAACTAATAGGGTCCTATAGAAATTGACTCCAGTCTACAGCACATGCCCCCACATTCCCCATGGCCAGCCAATTTCTTCATTAGTGTTTAAAGTCTTCAAGGGCTCTTGTTCATGCCTTGTTGGTAGCCCTGGCAAAATGATAGAATCCTAAAAAGGTGGTACTTAAAAAAAACAGTTTAACCTCCACTATCTACAGCTGAGGAAAGTGAGTCCAGAGAGGATAAAGAGTTCCCAGAGTCACAGTGGATGAATCAGTAGTGGTTAGAAGCTCATCCCCGAGTTTTCCTGCACTGCCTCCTTGTTCAAGTTAGAACGCCTGTCTTCCCTCTCTAGGCCGCCTCCCACCTTTCCATAATCTAGTTTCTCCACTCCAAGTATAACAGTAAAAACAGCAACAGCCATATCAGTGGTAACAAAAAGTAGTATTTGATGAGTGCCTACTATGAACTAGGAACACACATAATTCAAGTGCACTGTTTCATTTAATTTTCTCTACTATATACATGGCATGGATGGACATCACTGACTGGATGGACATGAGTGTGAGCAAGTTCCAGGAGTTGGTGCTGGACAGGGAAGCCTGTATGCTGCAGTCCATGGGGTTGCAAAGAGTCAGATATGACTTAGCAAATGAATTGAACTGAACTATCAGTAAATACACACACACACACACACACACACACACACACACACACACACACTCATACATCTCACAGAAAAGGAAACTAACTACTAAAGTGTCCACTACCAAATTGTGTCAAGCAGTACAAATAGGATTAGTGTGTGTGGGGAGGGAGGATTTTAACTTGAAAAGATCTCCCTGCCAAAGTCCTCAGATCTTTCTGTATTTTCCCTAGAACCCTGAGATGGTCAGCGATGATATACTCAGGTATATTTTGAGTATGTGTCTTCCCAACAGAAGGAAACACATGGAAGAAGAACTGCATTCACTGATGTTTGACATCAGCCAGAAAGCATAGGAGTGGCTTGCAGGTATCAAATTATCCATTCTATTAAAACTAAAGATTTCTCAAAACCCAGGAGCTAGAAATTTGATTTGGGGCTTCACACTACATACCTCTATCAAATGACAAAAGTAAAACAACTGTTATTTGTTTCCTACTGTGGCTGAATAGAATATGGCAGATCGTTTATTGTCCTGGTGTGTTTTCCTACTTTTGTTCACATGCTCAGAGTTCACCAGAAGGACAGTCACTCTTCCCCTTGACTTGGCAGCCAGACACAAAGAAATTGTCACCATGAAAGGCAGGTTATTGGTCACTGTTAATATTTGTGTGATTTTTATGATTCTAAATTAGTTTATGAAGAAACACACTAGGCCACTCATTTTTAAAAAAAAAAAAGCAAAAACAAACAAAAAACCATAAACAAAGAAACCCCTCTAATCTTCACTCTCTAGCTCAAAGTGTCTCCATTCATTTAACTTTTCATTTTTTTAAGTCCTGCTTTCTAACTCTTTAAATATATTGCCTTTCTTTGATTTCTCATCAAACACTTCATAAGTCAAAATTTGTAGAATCTAAAACCTGATAAAAAGCCAGTCTTAGACCTAATATTTGCTGAGTGACTGAAACAGAGTAAGAATAAAAATCTCTTTCGATTGGACTTGTTTAAAGCCTCCATGTCTGCCTTACTGACATGTGCCCAGACTCCTGACAGCTAGAAGGCATCTCTCCTCTCACACATAGGTCTGACTTTTCTTCCCCAGCAATGTGTTACTTTGGAAAGGATCTTCTGCTAAAGAAGTATTACACATGTAAAAAAAAGAAAAAAAAAAAGAAGTATCACACATGTAATAGAATTTCATTTATATGGAGCCAGAAGCCCTGATTCTGTCACAAAATCACTTTATGACACGAACCCACTCCCTGCATATTAGCTTCCTCTTCTCCAGATGACGGATGAAGTTTGAGACCAGGTGATTTTAAAAGTTCAACAGAGTTGACAGATACAAGTACCACTGTTTCCCGTGTATAAAAAGTCAATCTCACAATCAAGTTTCCAAAAATATACAACAAATACATTGGGACACATTTAGAAGTTGCCTCATAATTTAGCCTGATGAATCTTGAGCAAAGTAGCAGAACATTTTCTATAAAGGTGCAGTGGGAAACAGAGACTTAGAGGAGCTGTGGATTTATAAGTAATATTCAGCTAGATTCCACTTCAGAAAGCATTAGTCACTCAGCTTTGTCTGACTCCCTGCTATCCCATGGACTGTAGCCCACCAGGCTCCTCTCTCCATGGAATTCTTCAGGCAAGAATACTGGAGTGGATAGCCATTCCCTTCTCCAGGGCATCTTCTTGACCCAGCTATTGAGCCCAGGTCTCAATTCATTGCAGATGAATTCTTTACTGTCTGAGCCCCCAGGGAAGCCCTCCACTTCAGAATGTGCTGTTATATCATTTATAAGACTGATTTTCTTTAAAAGGAAGATTTTAATTGGCTATAAGATGAACAGTGATGGAAGATGACAGAAAGATACTATACTGTCATCATTAATCCATCACTTTTCTATCAGACACAGACAGCCTCAGAGTCCTAAACATAGTTACTCAATGCAACCTTCAGTTGATAATCAGAGTTTGCAAAGATGTTTAAATCTATCTGACATTCCTGAAACCCTCCTTCTGAGATCCCAGATTTAGTAAGCCCTTGCTTTTTGCTTTGTTATGACTTATGTTTAACGAAGCAACTCTTTGCTCTCAGTAGAAATGCCAAATGTTTGGCTTCTCATGCAGTCCAAGGCTAAATAGAATCCAACTATGATTTCTGTTCTTACCTGTCGCAGATCATACACACTTAAGGCAATGGAGAGAACAGACAAGATGATGATGGCCACTGAGTATTCGATGTAACCTTGACACAGCCACAAAGTGAGGGTAAAGACTTGAAACACATAGAATGGATTTAAAACCTGCAGGTACGAAAAGAGATTCTGGGTCACCTGCAGGGACCTTAGTGGCAGATTATAGTGTCACCTATAGTGACATCCTATAAAGATGATGTCATTTCTTTCTAGGATTTTTTTTTCTTTCATTTTTGCAACATAGAACAATAGAATTCACTTAGAGCTCCATTAATTTCAGTAGAGACAATGTCAAGCTCATAGAATATGATACAGTAGGAGTGAATTTATTTTAGGCGTTCAGAACCATGCTCACAAATTGATCCTTATTTATTTTGAACTTCAAAAATATTTGACCAATAACAAAATCTAATAGTTTACCTTCCTCAACAGATGTACCCACATTGGAGGAGAAATATGATTCTTTTAAGAACTTCAATTTTGAACTTTGTATTACAGGTTTCTTTTTCATGTAATCACATGCTACAGATGTAGTCAAGTTGTGCAATGAAAATGAAAGATTTCACTTTTATCCAAATAATTCATTTAAAAATAATACTCTCATGTCACAGGTCTTAGCAAGATCCTCTGAGAGCATGGACCTTCTCTTAAATAAGGAGGGATAGTCTTACTCAGGAAAGAGAAAAGTCTTATTCAAAGTTGCAGTGAGAATTATGTGCAGTATGTATCACCAGTTCCAATCAGGTATTTTTGGTCTCTTAATAATATCTTGGACTTTTTTTGTTCCCTCAATTGTCCCCATTTTAGTCCTGCTGACTTTACTATTAATGATAATAACAGAAAGCGCAAACCCCAGGGAGCTAGAGAAGGTCACATGACCTACATACTTAGCTTGCATTAAAGACCCATTCTGAGCAAGACAAAATTTTTTTTTTTCTGGTAAAGTGCTCTTTATAATTATCATGAATTACATGAAATATTACTTAAAATTAGTGCTGTTCTTTCTTACCTCTATCTTCTATAATTTTCTAATATACTAAATAAATTTCTACCTTAGTCCTAAAAATAAACTGATATCTGGTTCATAAGTTATATAACTTAAAAGCTTCTGAAACCCTTGGCTGTATTTCATCGATTAAGAAAGCTTGTGTTCCTTAACTTTTTTTATTATTTCCATTGCAACATGATTTTCTTACAAATTATAGCTCTTCTCTCTGTTTGGCATAAAATGCTTTAATTGTAAATTATACATTTCTAGTAATATGATTTTGAGTTTGTATAAACTCAGTAGAAAATTGGTTAAATACTTCTTGTAGAAGAAACAAAACCATCCTAATTAATTTAGTTCTTTTATTCAATATTCTTTTGAAACCAAATGTAACGACATAGTTTTTCCTGTTATTTTTTCTACTAAAGACTTAATAAGTAAGTGTCAGGAAATATTAGCACTCTTTTCAAAGTAGATTAAATAGACACTTAAAAGAGTCTTTGGTAATTTGAAAATGTACTTGAATAAGAAGTTTTAAAAGCAATCTGCTTTTTAACAGTAGGATATATTGTGCTTATGTGGAGGCATGGGATACAGAGGAAATCTCAGTACCTTCCGATCAATTTTTCTGTGGACCTAAGACTGTTCTAAACAAAAAAGTCTAATAAAAAATTATTTTTAAAAAATGACCATGTAAAAACCAGAATGACCATCTTTGTGGATTAGAAATAGACTGGAAAAATGTAGCACTGAGTGGGGACAGATTGATAAGTCTGTTAGGTTTTATACTAAGACAGAAGATCAAAGCTAGGAGCTCAATGCTAGGGGGGAGTAAGTATCCCACAGATGGCAGGAGACATAACCAGGCTTGCTAAAGATAACAGCAATAGCCCCTGAGAAAAGTCACAACCAGCCAGGGTTCACCAGCAGCAGAGGGCGGAATAGGAGAGGCAGGTTTGTGGTGCAGCTGTGACTTTGGCCAAGCACCAAGCTGGCTCAGGGCCCGCATCCAACAGATCCATGATGGACAGAGCACAAACCTCCAATACAGGCTCTGGTTCTGAACTTGGGACCCATGGTGACCAGTATGACCCAAAGAAGGAAACTGAGCACAGAGTGAGGGATAAATGGAGGAAGGAAAGTCCCATCCAAGCTGAGCTTACTAAAATAAATAGAGAAACTCCACAGCATACAGAGAAAATATTCTAAAACAAACAAAAACACTAAAAAAGGAAGATGTCACTATCAGGAAAATGGATATAATAGAATGATAGAACAATATACAAAAAAAAGATCAAATAATGCTTTTTAAATCCTCAAAGAGATCATGAAATGATAACAATCCTTCCCCCTCCCCACTATAGCCATCATCAAAAAACTGAAGAAAACAAAGAGGAGATTAAGAAATGAAAATCTGTCCCTCACACTGGGAAGGAATTTTTTAAAGCAGATTTGAATTTAGAACAAGTGATTATTGAAAAGGACCAGTTAGAAGTCCTGGAATAAAAAAATATATTTATTGAAATAATAATTAAAAAAGAAAACCTAAACAGACAGGAAAAGTAGAAACTAAAGTCAATGGGAATAACCAAAGAAATTTGCACAAAATACAGATTTTTGTCCTTGTCAAAGTATCCATGTTTTTAAGATTTCCCTGAGTGCTAGAAATGAAAAAGGAAAAAACAGTAGTTTATTTTTAAAACAAATGAAAACAGTTACCTGTTTAACAAGCAGCTTCCATATGGGTTGGATTTCAACCTCAATGGCATTTGGCCCGCACACTAATCTTCTGTAGGAGATTGATCATCTATTAGTGTCACACCAACATGCTTATCAATAAGTGAGTACAGGCGACACTAAGCCGAAGTCCCTTCTCTACCCTCAAGGGACTTTGTGCTTTTGATTAAAAATTAATATGCCAACCTCAAAATACTACTATATTTGTAAAAGAAAGCACGTGGTGGACAAGTTGTTTTTCTGTTAAATATACTTTAAGGACAACATAACTCATGAATCAAAATGAAGTTAGAAAGGCATTTTGAGCCTTTTTTTAAAAAAGAATTTGATTATATTCTAAAAATAGCTAAAAAGAAACGGATATGACAATGTTCCTAGAATTCTCAGAAATTCTAGATTGCCCTTGATGGTGGAGATCCTATCTGTCTTACCTTGGTATCTCTAGCACCTAGACAGGTCTTTAGTTTATGAACTCAATGAATACATGAAGGAATGAACCAATGAACTGGAAGATGGTGTATGACTTTCATAGCTAACACTTTGTAAAACCACACACGTGTACATTACAATAAGAAGCCCCAAGGGAGGAATAAATTAGGAGGTTGGGATTAATATATACATACTACTATATATAAAATAAGAAATCAACAAGGACCTACTATGCAGCACAGAAAGTTCTACACAATATTCTGTAATAACCTATCTGGGAAAAGAATCTGAAAAAGAATGAATATATGTACATATATAACTGAATCACTTTACTGTAGTCACCTGAAACTAACATAACATTGTAAATCAACTGTACTCCAATATAAAATAAAAGCTAAATTAAAAATAGTTTTAAAAACAAAAGAAAGAACTGATATTCTCACTTTGCCAATGGGAAGAACTATTCAATGTGGGTATTTTGACAAAGGTGCACATATCTAATATTAATCATGACAATGTAACTTTCAAGCAGAGATGACAGTGTCAGAAACTGCATTTAACCATTCATATACATTTTCCCTGTGAGATTTTATATGATCATCATTATTATAAAGGAAACTGAAGTTCAGAGAAACTAAGTAGCTTTCCCAGAGTCTCAGAGCAGGAAAGCAGCAGAGCCAGGCTTCCCACCATGGTCTCTATGACTCCACTTTACTCTCTCCCTCAGTAAAGATGGATGTGAAAATCTGCCTGATGGACCTTTGGTCTGTGACAGAGAGCTGAATCCAAGTTGGTCTGACTTCTAAGCCGTGCTATTCCAAATGCAATTATCACTGGCAAGGGATTGCAAGGACTCAAAACCAAGGTCTTCTGACTCCATGTATGAAAACACTGTGGTTCAGAGATGTTGAGAAACAGTGAGATCAAACAGCACATACTACTGTAAGGGACTTCAGAAGTCCCTAAGTCTCACATTGAGAAAGGACCATAACTCAAGCCACTTTAGTGGTTAAAATCTTTTTCTAAAAGCCAGCAAAATAACCTGTTGTGGGCAAGTATTCAGAACTTCTCAGAATCCTAAACTTGGTTTTCTTTCTCTCTCCTTGGAATCCCCTCCCCACATCCTTCACTTTATTAAGGTCTGCTTAGCCTTTGAGAGCTAAATCTGATACAGATGATGATGATACAGATAGAGTAGGATAATCAAACAGTTAGTTTAGAAACCCACTAGGGGATTATAGATAGGGAAATTTAGGGGGCTTTAGGAGACAACTGTAAGTTAATATCACTTGAGAAAGCAATCCAGACATTGTAAATAAAGCAGGCTTGCTTAATAACAAAATTATACAAGTCAATGGCACCTGCATCTTGCTGGTTGAGGTAAGTAAGTTAATGATCCCATATACATATGGGGAAATGACATTCTAAAGTACAAGAACCTCTTTATACTGAAACCTGAGATAATTTACTATATTTTAGCATATGTTACCACTTTTCTAGGCTTCCCTCATAGCTCAGTTGGTAAAGAATCTGCCTGCAGTGCAGGAGACCTGTATTCGATTCCTGGGTTGGGAAGATACCCTGGAGAAGGAAATGGCAACCCACTCCAGTATTCTTGCCTGGAGAATCCCATGGACAGAGGAGCCTGGCGGGCTACAGTCCAAGGGGTCACAAGAGTCAGACACGACTGAGCAACTAAACTACCACCACCACTTTTCTACTGATTTGAATAGCTCCATGACAGTCTGGGTTTGACTGGGGAGGGACAAGAAGACTCCCCCACCTGATGTGGAGGAGGAGCTGATGATGGAAGCCTGATGTCTACTCAAGGATGAGGAAGAAGGTGGTCTTCTCCCCCTCCCCACTTTCCTTTTGATTGTAAAAAATATAGCCCACTAAGTTCTTAGGTAGAGTCCTCTGGCCTGTGCACTCGTATCCTTCACAAGTGTCCTATACTAATAACTCACTCTTATCTATCACTTTGCCTCTCACTGAATTCTTTCTGGGCCAAGACATAAAGAGGTTGAACTCCACCAAGCTCTGAAATGTATTTTGTGGTTTCAGGGTTAAGAAATTTGAGATTCAACAGACTTGGCTACAGTTAAACCTTTGTACTTGTTGCTCCTTCTACCTGGAACCAGTTTTCCCTACATCTTTGCATGGCTCATGCCCTCATTTCATTCAGGCCTTTGTTTAAATGGCATCTTCTTATTGGAGGCTCTTCTCCAATTCTATTTAAAATAGCTAACCTGACCACCAAATCAGATTATCTTTATCTCTTTAACCTAACTCATTTTTCTTTATAGACTGTTTGATAATCTGAAGTTATACCTTATCTTTTACATGTTAATCGGCATGTAAACAATAGACTATCTTCCACTATTATATAAGCATCTAGAGGTCACTGGTATATTCTGAATGCCTAAAGCAGGGCCTAATTCATAGAATGCACTGAGGAATGATTTGTTAAATGATTTAGTGGATGAATGAAGTGTGAGCCTTGGTTCTCTTACTTATAAAATGGGTTGATAACACCTGCCTAATAAAATTGCTATTAGTAGCAAAAGATATAAATAAATAAGCATTTAGCACAAGTGCCTAAAACATGTGCCATGCTCAGTCATGTTTGACTCTTTGCTGCCCCATGGATCATAGTCTGCCAGGCTCCTCAGTCCATGGAATTGTCCAGGCAAAGAATGCTGGATTGGCTTGCAATTTCTTCCTCCAGGGGATCTTCCCCACCCGGGGATCAAACCTGTGTCTCTTGCATCTCCTACATTGGTGGGTAGATTCTTTACCAATGCACCACCTGGGAAACCCACCTAGAACATGCCAAGTCCTTAATAAGTAACAACTATATTTGACATAGTCTCCATTCCCATAAGCATTAACTGAGTATTAATTAATTAATTATTAATTATTTTTCTTGTCCCCAATAACCTTTCATTTCTTAGTAACTTCTTTGAAGTGTAACATGTAGTTACACATCTTTCACCTTGAATTTTCTAGGCTCTTTTTAATGGCAGAGAGGGAGGTTTCTCAGCTCTATTTTTCTGACATCTAGGGGCACAGTATCTGTCATAGAGAATGTTCCCTAAATATTGGAATTAATTAATGAGGACCTTTGTGAACCATGGCTAGAATACTGTCTTCCCTAACAAGGTTGTAAACCCAGTTTACAGAACAATAGCAGGACACAGGCTGTGAAGTCAGTTTAGAAAGAAGCAAGCCAAGTGCCCTCTGACCTTTTTCTTTGTCGGGTGAGACGGTTTCTAATGCTACCAGTAAGGGAGAGGTGCCCAGCTCCTACGAGAACTGAGATCCAGTAGGTTCATACTGGCCTGTGGTGATCCTTTCGGGGACATCTGGCTGCTGCTGCTGCTAAGTCGCTGCAGTTGTGTCTGACTCTGTGTGACCCCACAAGATGGCAGCCTACCAGGCTCCTCCGTCCCTGGGATTCTCCAGGCAAGAATACTGGAGTAGGTTGCCATTGCCTTCTCCAGTGCATGCATGCTTGCTAAGTCACTTTAGTCATGTCCGACTCTGCACAACCCTATGGACAGCAGCCCACCAGGCTCCCTGTCCACAGGATTCTCCAGGCAAGAATACTGGAGTGGGTTGCCATTTCCTTCTCCTGGGGACATCTGGAAAATGTGAATAAAAAATATTGCCTGTCATGTCAGTAAATAAAAGGTGTTGTAGTCATTTGACTATCACATTGCCACAGCCACCTTGAAGTTTCATCCTGAGGGAACTCAGGATAGAAACTGGATGCCCACCATCTACAGGGCTATGGTCCATAGGGTCACAAAGAGTCACACACAATTGAAATGACTTAGCACGCCATGCAGCAGTCAACTGCTGCGGCCACCTCCGATTTGCACGCTGAGGAGACACAGGATGATAAAACACAGGATATTGGCTCCAGATAGCTAATGTTCATACCAAAGCAATCATTTCAGTGAACCCGATTCTTGCATCTTCCCATACATAGAAAAGCACTACATTCTTAAACTTGAGACCTCTGGTTTTCTTCAGTTAACAGTAATCTGAAGTTCTGACTACCTGGTCTTTGTTGCAAAAATTACTATATGTCCTGGCTCCTCAACCCCCTTGCCTCTTTAAAGCAGTCCCTCAGAGTGATCTGAGAGCTCTGTCTCACTGGCTTAAAGTCCTCAGAAAGTCTGCCAAATAAAACATGATTCTCAACTTTTATGTTGTGTCGGACAACAACCACGTTTGAATCACAGACTGGTATTCCCCTTGATGTTTCACCTTTTCCACTATCTCTTGCCAAAAAATATGGTGTGGTTAGAGATCATGTACTCATCTCAATCTCAGCATGAACCACATAGAATTTTCAGGGATATTGACCACTGGTTGAAAACCAGAAGAAGAAATACGAGGTTTGAGCTGGGTCACATTAGCAAAGTTCCAAGGAACAAAGGAGATGACATTCCCTGACTTTAAAAATCTGATGAGCTGGCAGGGAAAGGAGCCCTAGAACAATTCCAGGTAGCCTCACGGAAGTCAATAGTCTGAATGAAATTAAGTAGACTTGCCTAATATTCAGAACCATTCATTAGGGGAATAATTACTTTGGATGTAGAAGATCTCTCTTCAAAAGAGATTGAAGGGTTTCTTAATAGGGAAGTTATGAAGGTATTTCTGCACTGGTTATGGGCTATGCTTGAAGAAGCACTGAGATTTCTTGCAATCATGAGATATTAGTAAATGTACTGAAAGTTATTTATATCTTAAAAACCAAGCATGAATGACTAGGAATATTTTCTTTGGCAATGGTCTGTATCTCTTTTCAATATGATTATTTGCTCATTCATTCATTTGTCAATTTATTCACCAAATAATTGTTGAGAATATGTTGTCTGCTGGGCCCTTTAGGCTCTGGATGGTGAAGACTAGGCTGAGAGTCCTCAAAGAGGCAGGAGGACCATGTCAGAATCACTGGTGAGCATTTTCAGACTTCATACAATCACTCTGCTTCCATTCTGATAAGCCATCAATAGCATCCTTGGCAGGGAGGGAGATCTGAGGTTTTTCAAAGAGTTAATACTAAGCCAGGGGATTCTGGCATGACCCATTTCCATGAAATTTGGAATTTTTAGGGAGCAGCTTTATTAGTGTTTGAAAAAAAGTTCCCAGGTGATTCTACTAGTTAATCCCTCACTCTCCTAATGCGCCCTCTTTCTAAAGGAAAGGAAACCTGAGAAATTCACAGATGCAGAGAAATGGCATCCAATTGCTGGCATTTGGGTATGTTGTAGAGTATGACAGGTATGTTAGTCCCATTTTAAAATAATAATAAAATCAAGATTAGTGTGCTTTGAGAAATTGCTTTCAGGGGAAAAAATTCCCTATGTTAGCAGTGCAGAGCCTGCTTCTATACTTTATAATTTATACAGAGAACATTCATTTTACAAATGACAAAAGTCATTTTATTTTTTCTCATTAGTCTTCATCTGTGACGTGTTCCTTTCTTTCATTTCCTAAAGCACGTTTCCAGATAACCTCAGAGAAAGTCAAATTCTTGCAGTTTCATGCCCTGTATGTGAGCTAATTGAGGTGCTGCTCATCTGCTTTTGTGGGGACGTGCACAGAGCATTCCCAGGCATGAAGATCCAGAACAGAGGACCATGAGGGCATCTAAATGGAGGTGGGGGTGGAGAAATCCCAGGGACTATCTCACCAGGGAGACTCAGGTCTTAGGCTTACTTGCGCTTTCATAGTGTTTTGCTCTGAAACAAAGCATTGGAGTTAAGTGATTTTATACTTTCAGTGGACCCAGAGTCATAGAAACATTGGTTATATTTTTAAGTATGTTACTGACTTCTAATCTAATGCAAAGATTTGAGACAATCTCATCGGTTTCCAGAACAATGAGTGAAGCCTGTCTCCTCCACTCTGATCAATTCTTCCTTGTTCTTTTTCACAGAACTGATCTGATGGACAAGTGTCTTTACTTGGTTGTATTTCTAAAGATGGAGATTTCCAAGAGGATAAAGGTCATGGTATACAGATATGATTTCTTTTCTGACTTTGGCTTCCCACAAGACCTGAGAAGTAAAAGGGTAGGATTTCATAGCAGCCCCGATCTCTCTCTCCCCTGCCTTCCTCTTGCTTATTTTTTTTTTTTCCTCTCTATTCTCTGGGGAAAGCTTCTATCAGCTTGGGGCTGAGCTTTGAAGGCAAACCCATCCTCTTTTGCTGCCGTCCACTCAGATTCTTTTCCTCTGGTACTAACAAGCATGCCTTTTTTCTCAGTGGTGTAACAAGTGTTGAGAATTAAGTTTGGTCCTACAGAATCACAAAGCCAATTGTGAATACCACTCCACAGCTCCACATTCAGTGATGTCACACTGGAATAAGCCATGGTTGGAGTATCCCTATTATAGAAATTGGTAAACCCTATCCATAAAAGCTTTTCCTGCCCTCCCCCCCCCTTCAAGATTTCTGGGATACCAACAAGGTGATTGGTCTGGAGCTAACCCCCAGTTAGGAGGTAGCTGGATCTCTTCTGCCAGAAAGTTCTTATGTTTTCAGGAGGCTAAACAGAGGAACCAGGGACAGGGAGGGCTGAGTGAGGAGATGAAGTGTCACTCAACTGAAAAAAACTGTTGTAATAGGAAGACAGCTTGGGTGGACAGGGGAGGAGGTAGGTGTGTTTTTTTCACAGGGCCCTGTGTCCATGAGGTAAGAGAATTACTCCAACTGTCTGTAGACCTGTCTAGGACAGTCACTGGGATGGCAAGTTGTGTTCAGTTCATGGATGAGTGAAGGTGAAAGCAGGGAACCTTCTGGAATAATTTTCCTGCTTTCCTCTTGATGGCTTCCCTGGTGGCTCAGAGGGTGAAGGATCCACCTATTATGCAGGAGACCCAGTTTCAATCCTCTTGATACCCTCTGACAGTTTCTCTCCAGGGTAAATGTGTCACTCCTGATGTCTTCGTTTGCTTTTTGCTACTGAAAAGTGAGAACTATGTTCATCTTTGCATTTTCTCTCGTTTCCTGGCTGCTAGGAAGACTGAAAGGGGAGGCTGTATTTTTTGATGACTTTTCATGATCAGAAACTTTTGTGTATCCCTCTTTTATTTATTTCTTATATTGGGTCCTTGCTTTTCATGCAAGCAAGCTCAAATTCATTGAGACTCTTAAGCTATCACTCAACACAAATCCATCATATTTAATTTTTGGAAAAAGTGTTTAGTCTTACATTAAAAAAATTAAAGGGAAAATTTATGGATGGGTGAGGAATACTCCATATTTTATTTTCTCTCTTTATGCTTCAAATGGAAAAACTCACAAAATAAAATATGACTATATATTTCTAAGTAGATTATCTCCTCTATTCTTCATATTTGGGCAACTATATACTTTATCTTGCTTATTAGATTGTCAAGTTCTTTATTGTGCGGACCAAATTTAAATTTAATTATGTATGATGTTTATTAAAGCTTGGCACCTGATAAATAAATAAACGTGACATAGCTACATGGATGGAAAATCTGGGGAAATGGTTTCTTAGGCAGAGTATATCTATATTCATCAACTACATTTCCTAAATAGATCAATCCTTTAAATGTTTTGTGCTTAGTGCTAGGAAAGCAGTGTGTTTTTAATGACTTTGAAAACTTTTTGTACTTCAGTAGTTAAGCACTGTATCTGAAATCTTATATAATGATACCCTGTTTCTAAAGCATTTTGGAATACTGTCAGAATCTAGATGCCCAGTTCCTTTTTCATAGTGTTCAAACAGAGGGAAAACTTGAAAACAATAATAGATCAATAACTCACAGGTTTGGTGTGAATACAGATCATGGAGATGCTTGCTAAAAATCCTGTTTTTCTCTCACAACCACCCTAGCTTCTACTTACTAAATCAGAATTATGGAGAAGAACCCAAGAACCTGTATTTTAAGGACTGAATTGCTCCTTCACTTGAGAATTTCTGTTTCTGACCAAGTGTGAGGAATATCAGGCAAATCCTTCTTTTCATCTCTAAAACTGGGCAAGAAATATAGGGGATTATAAAGATTCTTGGGAAATTTTGCAATGGTTTACTTTCAAAGTCACCAGGATTCACCATTTTAAATTACAGATGAGTGAAGCAGGGACTCTAGGTCACTGTGAGTTAATGAGAAGCCTAAGCATTTCCTGTGCTACTATTATCCTATCATTTCCTAACCTATGTGCCTTTATAGATCTCATTCTCAAAACTGTACCCCTATTCTTTGTCTCTCTTTCTGACTGGTGGGAAATGTCTCTTGGACCATGACTAAGTCTTATTTATCCTTAGATCCCTAGTGCCTTGCAAAATGCCTGGCATATTAGAGGAGTTTAGTTCACAAATCAATGAATGCATTTATTTATTCATTCCTTCCACACAAGTCTATTGAGTTTCTACCGTGAATCAGGCACTGTTCTAGATTCTGTAAATAATAGTGGTGAATGACATAATTAACTGAGCAAACAAAATCCTCATCTCCAGGGCCAGTTCTCCTAGTAAAATGCAATCATTATATTGTCTTTCTGTCTCTCAGAGGACCTGGAGGCTTAAGAAGCTGATGTTTATGAAATGACTCAAGTTTTTTTTGAGGAAAGAAAAGAGACAACACAGAGAATGCTATTCTATAATCCTGAGAGAAAAGATCAAATGTTATTTGATTGCATTGTTCTTTTAGCCTTCCCTTTTTAATAAGTGTGCCTATGATGAAAATAATTTAGAACACTCTGATGCCAGTAAATGAACTGGGGTTATGTGAAGTTGATATAGCCTTATACCAACAATTCACTCATCCTAAGCCATGCAACATTTGCATTTATGCTAGCAAAATTTTCTCTGGAGTACCCCAAACCCTACCTGATCTCTTGTTCTTCAGTGGTAAGACCCAGTCCAAACGTGTGATGGATGTCATAGCAGCTGTTGCTATCTTCCAGCAACCTAGGATGTGGTCAGGACAGGAACCGTACTTCAGTTCATGGTACTGAACAAATCAGTGTTCTTCCCTTATATTCTGATGAGTGGTGAGGAAAAAAGTCAGACTTACCCAACTTTCTGAAACTTCTTCTCCGAGTTGTTCCAGACATACCTGATTTTCTGCACTTGGATACATCGCAACTGCAAGTACAAATGAGATAGAACAGAAAAGTGAAAAGAAAGTAAAACCACTCAGTTGTGTCTGTTTGTGACTTTCCCAACCCAGGGATCAAACCCAGGTCTTCCACATTGCAGGTGGATTCTTTATCAACTGAGCTACCAGGTATGCCCTGATAGAATAGATGTCATTCACAAAATAAAGCCCATCAAGGAAGGTAAGGGTTGGTTAGTCCAGGTCCTCAAACAGCTCTTACTTTTCTTAACATAGAGCTATAATTTCCAGCCCAGCAGTGTGATTTTCAGGATTTTCATCCAATAAATACATTATACTCTTGCAAAGAAAACATGCTGTAACATTGTACTATTAAAGTCAAATCACTTACTTTTAATTCTGGCTTCAATACAGCTTTGTTTATGACTGAGTGGCAGTCAGCCACCAGGGGTTCTTCTGAGTTCTTGCTTATAGGAATCTTCAGTGTGGATAAGTAGAGGCAGATTACCTTCTTCCTCATATATCTCTGAAATTCATCCTAGAGAAGACAATTCAGCCCATGAAATTCTGAAGTGTTATTCCATAAAGCAGTCAGTCAACCAAATACCTGCCAAGTCCTAGATCAGTGGTTGCCAAAGTTTGGGCTACTGATAAAAACATCTGCATCACCTTGGAACTTGCTAGACATGTATGCATCTTAGTCTCACCCCAAAGCTGCTGGGCCAGATATTATTGGGAGGCTAACAGTCTGTGTTTTAAAGAGTCCTCCAGGTAATTCTGATTTGCACTAAAATTTGAGAACCTCTGTGCTAGGGAAAAAAGAGAAAGATACACTTTGCAAGAAAGTTCATATTCAGGAAATAGTCTCCAGCTATCCTAAAATGACATCTAGGTGTTTAAAATGTATAATATCCCTCAAAACACATACTTGAAAAACTGAACAGTAATTCCCTTGTATATGTTTAAGAGTTATAACACTGACAGCCCTTGCTCATGTTATGGCTAAGAGCACTTACAATTAGCCTGACGTGGTAGAAATTTCTCCAGGCAGATGTGGAGGAAATGTACTACATTCCTGGGTCAAAATAAGATGTCGCAAATAGATGGCAAGGACAGTTTTGCCATATTGTATCTGGGGGCAGAGAAGCCCTTAAATCAAGGAGGATCTGCTCTGGAATGCTGATCATCGCAGGTTATGCACTAGATGCAACACAGAAGGGCACGCACCATTGTCCTTAGCAAAACAGTGTCTGCTTCTTGCAAGGAGCATGGGATACAGTAGGCCCATACCCTCCACTGGGGCTTCCAGTAGAATAACAGGGGAAGGACTCCACAGGTCAGCACGGATGTCACAAGGAAGAGAACTCTGCGTAGCTTCTGGGTCTGGTAACCAAACACCTCCTGGAGAGTAAATAAAAGATCACTCTATTTTTTTCCCCACACAAACACACATTTTGTTCCAGGACACACAAACTTTAGGTGCAGTTTGGGTTGGGAAAGGAATCTAGTTTTGGTTGGTGGGATCAGATCCATTGCTTACAGCTATCAGCTGATACAATAAAAAAAAAAAAAGAAAAAGAGGGAAGAATTCATTTTGCTATCCTGGCACATGGAACTAAAATGTTAGGAGCAAGGAACAGGCAGACTTATTTGGTTCTAAATATTCATGAGTCACCTCAGATATATATATATCTGATATCTGATATATATCAGATATATATAATATAAAATACCTATGTTTTAGATCAGATTTACTTCCTTTAGATAAAAGGCTTTTAACAATTATTAATATGAACTTATTGGAGGAAGATGATAAATTATGACCAATAAGATTCATATCTTGTTTAAGGAATGAAAGTGTGCATAAATGTACTGCTTTGTAAAACAGTAGAGTGATGTAAATTAAGAGATTATTTGTAAACATGAAAGATTTTCAACAGACACCTTATAGGTATTTATCCTGACAGTAACATGCTGAAATATTTCTATTTTTAATAATTGATTAGTTAACACTTGTCATGAATTGAGTGAAGACTTGAGATGTAGTTTTCAGTTCAGTTCAGTTGCTCAGTCTTGTCTGACTCTTCGTGACCCCATGAACCACAGCATGCCAGGCCTCCCTGTCCATCACCAACTCCCGGAGTTCACCCAAACACATGTCCATTGAGTCGGTGATGCCATCCAACCACTTCATCTTCTGTCATCCCCTTCTCCTGCCCTCAATCTTTCCCAGCATCAGGGTCTTTTCAAATGAGTCAGCTCTTCGCATCAGGTGGCCAAAGTATTGGAGTTTCAGCTTCAACATCAGTCCTTCCAATGAACACCCAGGACTGATCTCCTTTAGGATTGCCTGGTTTGATCTCCTTGCAGTCCAAGGGACTCTCAAGAGTCTTCTCTAACACCACAGTTGAAAAGCATCAATTCTTCGGCGCTCAGCTTTCTGTATAGTCCAATTGTCACATCCATACATGACTACTGGAAAAACCATAGCCTTGACTAGACTAGAAGTAGTTTTAGGGGAAGACAAATAGCCAAAAACAATAGATTTTCTTAATTAAAGCTAATTTCTAGTTTCCACTTCCTATCATGAAATTTCACAATATTGTTTTCTAAATTTCAAAAAACTAGATAGAATCATAGGAGTCCCAGAAGGAGAAGACCAAAAAAAAAGGCCATGAGAAAATACTCGAGGAGATAATAGCTGAAAACTTCCCTAAAATGGGGAAGGAAATACTCACACAGGTTCAAGAAACACAGAGAGTCCCAAACAGGATAAACTCAAAAAACCAGATAGTGTATTTAGAAAACCCACAGGGCTCCTGATTATGAGTGGGATCGTTACTCTACCATTATTTTACTTTCTGCTGTTATTGTGTGTGTGGGTGCATTTTCTATGACTGAAATTCGGGGTCCAGATCATAGGAGTGTAATGTCAAAAAATAGGTTTTTCTACAGCACTTTCAGTGATGGAATCTCCTGAATTTTATGCCAGTTTATTTTAAGTTTATTTATTTTTGACTGTGCTGAGTCTTTATTGCTGCCTGTGGGCTTTCTCTAGTTGTGGTGGATGGACGTCTCTTGTTGTGGAGCACAGCCTCTAGGACACGTGGGCTTTGGTAGATGTGTCCGCAGGCTTAGTTGCCCTGTAGTACACAGACTCTTCCCTGACCAGGGACTGGACCCCTGTATTGACAGACAGATTCTTAACTGCTGGACCACCAGAGAAGTCCTTAGGACAATTTGAAAGTGAAAGAAAGTGAAAGTGAAGTCCTTCAGTTGTGTCCGACTCTTTGCGACCCCATGGACTGTAGCCAACCAGGCTCCTCATCCATGGGGTTTTCCAGGCAAGAATACTGGAGTGGGTTGCCATTTCCTTCTCCAGGAGATCTTCCCAACCGAGGGATTGAACTCAGGTCTCCTGCATTGTTGGCAGATGCTTTACCATCTGAGCCATCATACTTTTAATAAATCTCTTGGCTTAATTCTTTGGGAAAGTTTTCATCTTCAAAATAACCATTTTAATTAATATTTTCTAATAAAGACCTCTGGTAGATCAAGGTTTCAATAAAAGTTGATGAAAGTAATCCTTAAACATATTGAAAAGGTCACAGGCTTAAGAAGCAAAGACATAAGTTAGAGTCACCACTCTGTTGGTTTCCAACTATGCAAACTTAAGTAAATCATTCATTTCTAGGGAATCCCAATTTACTCTTCTACAAAAGCAATTAGAAATATGTACCTTACAGGGCTCTTGGACTCAAATGAGATAATGTCACTTTACGTGTTCTGCAAAGTAATTACAAGGTTAAGAGTTGCTTTCCACTACTCCGCAATAGGATCACCTACTTGGGGAAAAATTATCCATTAAGTTTCGTGATGCAGCTATTTGGAAATTATTCATGATAAGCTTTATATCTATCTTAGAAACACATGTTCACTCTGCTTTAAGCATATTTTCAGTTAGAGCTCCTTTCTCTCTCTCCTATCTTTCCTCTGATTCTGTAAACCTGCTTTGGTTTTATTTGTCAGTTACACTAGGTTTATTAGACTCAAATAAAAAGTATATGCCAGTGCTCATATTATGTCATAAATATGCATTTTTTACATTTTAAGCAATGGAATAGCTTTAGCTTTAATTTTTTTTAATTTATTATTTTTAGTTTAGGCTGTTCTGAGTCTTCATTGCTGCAAGTGACTTTCTCTAGTTGCAGAGAGCCAGGGCTCCTCTTTAGTTTTGGTGTGCAGGCTTCTCTCTGCATGAGCCTCTCTTACTGCCGAGCACAGGCTGGGGTGTGTGGGCTTTGGTAGTTGTGGCACATGGGCTTAGTTGCCCCAGGGTACGTGGGATCTTCTCAAACCAGGGACTGACCTCCTGTCCCCTGCATCACAAGGTGGATTCTCAACCACTGGACCCCCAGGTAAGCCCAGTATTCGTTCTTTTACAAAGTTATTTACAGGGTCTATTTCCAAAGCCCAAGAGTACACAAAATAGAAGCAGAATAGTTTGGAATTGTAGTCCAGCTTTTAGCTGAAATAAGCACATTTGTAGACAACATAACTTTTTTCTGTTTACTTACATACAGCAATGTGATTGGTCATCATAATTCTGGTTTTCCATCAGGTCTTTTCTATACAACAATTTTTTTATTAAAAAAGTAACTCACAATGCTATCAAGACTTCAATGAAATCACTACAGCTACATACTTCCAATAACCTTATAAATTGAGTAATTCTTTACAGAAAGCAAGGTGATAAATTGTATTAAGAATTATAAAGATGTTTCTATCCCTTGAATCAGTAATTCCACACTCAAAAATATACCCTAAGGAAATAATACAGAAAGTGATGTATATAAAGATTTCAGCACAGCATTATCTGTAATAGCAAATTATTAGAAGGAATAAATGATAGCTAACAGTTCGATAAGATGTGAGTCAAAACAACGGGCTATTGTGGAGCCATTTAAAACAAAATGTATGAACTCAATGTAGAGGTATGGGCACAATATGCTGCCGCTGCTGCTGCATCTCTTCAGTCGTGTCCGACTCTGTGCGACCTCATAGACGGCAGCCCACCAGGCTCCCCGTCCCTGGGATCCTCCAGGCAAGAACACTAGAGTGAGTTGCCACTTCCTTCTCCAATGCATGAAAGTGAAAAGTAAAAGTGAAGTTGCTTGGTCGTGTCCGACTCTTAGCGACCTCATGGACTGCAGCCCACCTAGCTCCTCCGTCCATGGGATTTTCCAGGCAAGAGTATTGGAGTGGGGTGCCATTGCCTTCTCCTATCTATCTTAGAAACACATGTTCACTCTGCTTTAAGCATATTTTCAGTTAGAGCTCCTTTCTCTCTCTCCTATCTTTCCTCTGATTCTGTAAACCTGCTTTGGTTTTATTTGTCAGTTACACTAGGTTTATTAGACTCAAATAAAAAGTATATGCCAGTGCTCATATTATGTCATAAATATGCATTTTTTACATTTTAAGCAATGGAATAGCTTTAGCTTTAATTTTTTTTAATTTATTATTTTTAGTTTAGGCTGTTCTGAGTCTTCATTGCTGCAAGTGACTTTCTCTAGTTGCAGAGAGCCAGGGCTCCTCTTTAGTTTTGGTGTGCAGGCTTCTCTCTGCATGAGCCTCTCTTACTGCCGAGCACAGGCTGGGGTGTGTGGGCTTTGGTAGTTGTGGCACATGGGCTTAGTTGCCCCAGGGTACGTGGGATCTTCTCAAACCAGGGACTGACCTCCTGTCCCCTGCATCACAAGGTGGATTCTCAACCACTGGACCCCCAGGTAAGCCCAGTATTCGTTCTTTTACAAAGTTATTTACAGGGTCTATTTCCAAAGCCCAAGAGTACACAAAATAGAAGCAGAATAGTTTGGAATTGTAGTCCAGCTTTTAGCTGAAATAAGCACATTTGTAGACAACATAACTTTTTTCTGTTTACTTACATACAGCAATATGATTGGTCATCATAATTCTTGTTTTCCATCAGGTCTTTTCTATACAACAATTTTTTTATTAAAAAAGTAACTCACAATGCTATCAAGACTTCAATGAAATCACTACAGCTACATACTTCCAATAACCTTATAAATTGAGTAATTCTTTACAGAAAGCAAGGTGATAAATTGTATTAAGAATTATAAAGATGTTTCTATCCCTTGAATCAGTAATTCCACACTCAAAAATATACCCTAAGGAAATAATACAGAAAGTGATGTATATAAAGATTTCAGCACAGCATTATCTGTAATAGCAAATTATTAGAAGGAATAAATGATAGCTAACAGTTCGATAAGATGTGAGTCAAAACAACGGGCTATTGTGGAGCCATTTAAAACAAAATGTATGAACTCAATGTAGAGGTATGGGCACAATATGCTGCCGCTGCTGCTGCATCT